CAGAAATATGTCCCTCTCTCCCTGTCTGTCTACTCCCTCCCTCCCTCCCTCCCTGTCTGCTCCTACTTCCCCTGCCTCCCTCCCCTGTCTGTCACCTCCCTCCCACCTCAAAGTCTGGTTCCTACTCCCCTCGCCTCCCTCCCTCCCACCCTGTCTGTCTACTCCCTGCCTCCTCCCTCCCTGTCTGTCTGTCTGTCTACTCCCTGCCTCCCTCCCTATTTGTCTGTCTACGCCCTGCCTGCCTGCTCCCTGTCTCCCTCCAATTCACAGTGTCTCAGGAAGCAGACAGGGAGGGAGGGAGGCACTATAGGGAGGGAGGGAGGCAGGCAGGCAGGAACATATCTCTGCAACACACTACACATTAATACTGGTGTCATACTCAATAAGGATACCACATGGTGGAAGATTACAATTTTCAGTTTTAAAATTCTGAAAAAATATGGAAGCTTTAAACAGCTCCATAAATACACCTTAATACTACTAAGAGGAATGTGCACTACAAATGTAAAATAAAAATATACTTCCTAGGTATAACAATTTGACACCATGGCTTCCTTATGATAAAGTAGGTTGCAAATTCTTTATATCTTAATATATACATCACAGGACTTTTAAAATGGAGAAACCTTGTAGTAAAGGACAGTATTTATGACCTGTTTCTCAAGAATACCTGGGGGTCATCTGTACCTTGGCTGATTCAAGGTCTACTGTAATGACTGGTCTTTTTAACAACAAATCTTGATAATTTTGAGATTTCATAATAATAATGATACAGTCCTTGGTATATTTTCTCCTCAGAACTTACATTTCTGTCGGTAAAAATAAGTTAGTTACAGTTCACTATCAGACGACCATTCATTTTAAAAGCCCTGCATTATCCTCACCACCACACTCTGATTATCACTAGACAGGGACATACAAGATCACCAACTATAAAAAAATAATCACATAACTCTGCTCTTTATAGTTAATTATAAAAGACAGATCTCGCCCCTACAAAAATCATCATTTCAAAATTTTACTGATGCTTTCATAAATTAGCTGTGTGGCAAGTCAGGCAATACCAGAGCAAATGAAACATCCATAAACTGTGGGATTCTCGTAGACTTATATTGATAAACATTTGGCTTAAGAGCTTATCTCTCTCTCTCTCTCTCTCTCTCTCTCTCTCTCTCTCTCTCTAGACCAGAATGCATCCATATTCAAGATAAAAATACAAATTCCATAAGAATTGGTAACAAATAATATTCTTCATTGATGTAATAAGAACAAATAACAAGAAATCAAGTACATTTTGCCTCATTCCATAAATAAAAGTTTGGAATCCTGACAAATTTCCGAGAATATCGTAAAGATTAATAAACAAAACAATTCTTAATTTTAACCTCAGTCTGCTATTCAATTCTTCATCGTGCACAGACTTCACGTTAACGATTGAAGCTGTGATTATATTATTGGTTCATTAATGTGTTTAATCAACGCCGTCGACTTGATAGTAGGTACAGTAGCCTCTGCGTAAACAAGAGTATTTGACCGTGTTCATCGCTTCATCCAATGGAGTTTTTCTTCCAATAGACTAATATCATTGTTGACAGATCAGTTTACAGCACACTGGACGCTACCCCAAGACACAATGGGTCAATTACGCGTGTCTGTAACTCCGTATCGAACCAATCGCTCAATACGTCAATAAAATATGGCAAAGTGGTGTCAAGGAGATAAATTATGAGACTATCGCCACGAACCCCTTCACTACAGGGACGTCACTTTTAATACTGTGTACGGATAATGCCCGAGGGTTTTATTCAGCTCAGAGGAGACACTGTACAGTAGACAAGGGGTTAATATATTATTTTTTGATTATATGCAGACAGAAAATATACAAAAATTAATACAAATAATTCTTCTCTACTAACAGCTACAAGTAATTAATCTATTCCTGATTAATTCCATTTTCTTAACAGCTTCCAGACAACCATGATCTTGTTATAAATGTCATTGTGTATGATAATGTGCACTGAAATACAGGCATACATACAGTCGATCAAAGAACTATCCTTACATAATTGTGTTAGATGATATGACACGGCAGATGATGGATTTTGACAACACTAGAGACAACAGGAGTCACAGCGTCATCCCCCCCTGCAGTACATATATATATACACACATACACAGTAGATAGTAGGCAGCTACCAAACAGGGAGGAAGATATTGGCAGCATAATGTGTTGTCTAATGGTAGACTGCCTGCTCACATATGTGACCAAGTCCCAGGTTGCTGATCTGACTTTCTGCCTCATTTACACACAATTGCAGGGTCTCAATTGTTTCTCTTACTATTGACAACACAACATACATATATTGTTCCTCACTTTTGATTTTTTTTTCATTTCTTTGGTTCTTATTATCATTGTTTTTATTACATTTTCACCCCCAGGCCCGATGTGGGTCAGTGACTCCAGGGGTGCTAATATATAAAAAAAAAAAAATTACATATTTTCCTTCCTTTCATTGTAAATTATTCTAACTATTGCACAAAATGTAATCTAACAATACCTATATTCTGAATGACTTGCCCCCATTGCCCCTATCACCACTATCACTCAACACAAGTCACCATCACTCAACACAAGTCACCATCACTCAACACAAGTCACCATCTCCCAACAGTGATGCACCGTCTCAGTCAACGCCACACTCTAATTGCTGCTGTTACCTCCTGTGTTCATACTATGTCAGCAATAATCAGTTCAGTACTACCAAACTAGATCTTCATAGTAATTTATCATAAAGCAGTAACACTAATAGTCCATTGAATAAATGTTTGGTAAATAAAGGCACAACACTAAAATAACCACATGGAATAACCGGTGATTGTACAAGATGTCGAGGTGATTTATAAAGACTAAAATCACGAAAAATCTTGACTGCTGTTTCCTGTGTCGAGTTCGTAACGATTCTGAAAATTTTGTGATTTTTCTTATCAATTCTAACCTAGTGATTGATCCTTTCCCAGTGTGATATTATGAAAAGTTTCAGACAATGAATCACATCGACGCTCACCTGAAGATTAACCTCCCTAGTTTATTTCATCTCATAATTAAACAACCTAATGTTACCTGTGGGGTTTTTGGTTAGGTTAGGTTTGGTTAGATTTGGTTAGGTTAGGTGAATGGAGTTTAGTAGTTGAATGTACATCAGGAAAGACCATGTGACATTACAGTGTGTTCCTCTTAAGTGAAACAGATAAACTAATTTTCCTTCAGATCTATGATGAGAGGACACTGTACATTGAACCCGCACTGACATCGCTAGGACTCTGGGAGGCTCGAATCAGCCCGAAACATCGAATTATCCCAATATATCAACATTACTATATTTCTTTTTATTTATTATATATTTTTTGACTACAATTCACCCCACAGGTCGAGAGGAATTTGTGATTGTTTACAACAGCACGTACGTCTTGATGTCCGATGCGGGGACGTGCTGAACGACAAAACCTGACACCTGTCTTAAGAATACTGAATAATATATGGACTAATTGTGAATATAGAATTAGTTATGGCTATGTATACTTGTTTCGTTAATCTATATAATTATTAAACTTTAAAAACCCTGTCGAGTTAGTTTAAACAACCTCTCCATATTGCAATAGTACTGTATTTGAGCAGATGTTCGTGGGTAAAACATATGAACGATGGGAAATATATCAACAGGAGATGAAATTAAATGTGGGTTCTATTGGCAAGACTGTGGGTATTGGATGGTATATTAGCTCCTTGGTCTGTATGGAGGCACTGAACTCTACTGTCTACACTTGTCTATCTGCAAAGTAAGGTGAGTGGACTGTGTGTGTGTGTGTGTGGCCTCAGATACAAACCAATGCATTAAGACAACAGGTGACCACTGTCTCTAGTCAGCTGCTACAAGAGGATAAACTAGGACAAATATCATGGATTACTGAGGGTGGTCTTAGGAAAATTTTTTTTGGGGAAGACATATGTATTAAGTTACACATTACAAAACATTAAAATGGCAAAAATTATACTTAGTCACTCAAAAAATTATCTTTATAAAAATTGTGTTGTGACAATATGATACAGCGGACGAAGGATTTTGACGACCCTATCGAGACAACAGGAGTCACAGAGTTCATTATAGGATTCATTGATCACCCCAGGTAGAAATCACATGGGAAGTCAGAAATCAAATATGGTATCTTGACTATTTTTGTGTAAACTTTGGTTGTAGATCATAAATACTTTTAAAAAATATTACCACAAAAATGTTACTGTACCCTCATGCGCCGGTCACCAGCGCTTGCGGTGGTAGCTAAGGTTGTTTACACTCTGGAAATATTTTATCGGGCAATATTTTCCATTTATCGGGTAATAATTTAATTTTATTGGAAATATTTCCATTTTCTCGGGTAATATTTTAATTGTATCGGGAATATTTTAATTTTATTGGGTAATATTTTAATTTTATCGGGAATATTTTAATTTTATCGGGAATATTTTAAGTTTATCGGGTAACTTCATTATATCAGTTAATATTCTCATTTTTATCAAGAGTTTTGTTGAGATAAACCATTGACCAGAAACTTAAACACACACACACACACATTCACTCTCCTTCACTAGCTGTCATTCAATCACTTCAGCTCTGGTATTAGAAACACTCTGTCTGTCTTCCCCAGAGGCCCTATATATATATCTCTGGGTCACCCTCCCCTCGTCACTTCAGAGTATCACCCAATAGCTGATCATCCGCCTACTGTAATGATTAACAACAAAGATTAAACATTTAAGGTGCATTTAACCCTTTGAGGATGATGGCTTAACCCTTTGAGGCAGATTTAACCCTTTGGGGCAGATTTAACCCCTTTGAGGATGATGGCTTAACCCTTTAAGGTGGATTTAACCCCTTTGAGGATGATGGCTTAACTCTTTTAGGTGGATTTAACCCTTTGAGGATGATGGTTTAACCCTTTTAGGTGGATTTAACCCCTTGAGGATGATCGTTTAACCCTTTAAGGTGGATTTAACCCTTTGAGGATGATGGCTTAACCCTTTAAGGTAGAATTAACCCTTTGATGACGACAATTTAACCCTTCGAAGACGACAATTTAACCCACCAGCACTCAAAGGGTTAAAGGAGAATTTCACACAATCACTATCAATCCCACAATTCACAATCAGGAGAGCCAATCGTCGTTGTCATCATCTTCATCACTAAACAGGGGAGGTGTTGGGGGCCTCGGTCTCCACTCCTGTAAAATTAAGGACAATGTTAACACCGTGAAGAGAATTTTCTGACTCGATGAATTTATGTATATTTCTAAGATAAAAAATATATTCATTTGATGTATATATGAGACAAGACCTTTAGATGTATATACTGTATAATGTTTATGGGGACAGTGTATAATTGTATACTTTATTGTGTACTAGTTCAAGAGCCATTTCCTATACAGTGAAACCTCCATATATTCAGCTTCTCTCTCCATATACAGTAGTTCATTAGAAGGGGGGGAGGGTCTCACATCTAACAGACCCTCGAAATGACGGACTTTCATCTGTATATAATCCGTTAATCACAACTTCCTTATGACAAGACAATACTGCTATGTTGACTAAGATAAGGTGAAGATGCAGCTTGACCTGGCACCATTGCCCTGTTATGGAAGGCACCAAACACAGCAACTCAAACTAATTTAATCTTCCTAATTACATAATTATTCTGTAAAATTGTAATTCATGTTTATATTGATTCATAATGTATATTTATATAAGCAAGGTAGGTATAGTTTAACATGTATATAGGCAAGGTAGGTACAGGTACTCCTCGACTTAGGACCACCCGGACGCACGACCGCCCCAGTCGTACAAAAATTGTTTTCGATTATATATTTTCAAGACCCGACGTTAGTGATTGCGCTGTGTACTGACAAAGTTTTCGTTTGTAATTCACTTTAAAATGGCTGCCAAGCTTAAAAGTGAGAGTTTTGTGGTGCTGAGAAGAAAAAGAGACACCCATTTTAGATTTTCTATGTATTATTTAAGCATTTTCGACTTACGACCTGGGTTTGGGTCCCTAACTCCGTCGTAAGTAGAGGTGTGGCTATTAATTTTTTTACATTTATTTTACTACAGGGTCTAATTTTCTTCATTTTCTAATGTGGAACCATTAACCCAGACTCCTGGCTGTAAACATTAACAACAAGAGTGGTGTCCCATCTCCTCTTGTGTGCCCATGTTATTATTCATTTATATTGTATAAGTTGCATTCAGAAACATATTTAAAGAATATTGTTTGCAATTTTCATTAATTGTATTGTTTTGGGGAAAAAGAGGGTAAAAAACCACACAAAAGACATGAAAAGGTCACACTTGGGATCTCATTACTATTTCTTTATTTCAATGGTAATTAATGATTCGTGATACGCTGATTCACCTCACACTGCAGCATCGGACGAAACATTACCATCGTTATTCGAGGCTTTACTGTACTGTATTAAAATGTATCAATCGCTCTCATGCTTCCAAAAGCCAAATGAACCAAGAAAGGTACAGTGAAACCTCTATTTAATGGGTTATATGGAGAGTAATGTCCATTATATCGAGGGTCCGTTAGATGTGAATCCTCCACCTAACAGATAACACTGAGAAGAAGAATCCATTATATACAGACGTTTCACTAACATTTTTGCTTGATAAAATAGACAAACTTTTGGTGGCTAAAGTTTGTATTGTCTATTGACCAGGAACAAATCCTTTATTTAATCCATCTATAATGATGTTTGCTGGCAGTGGGTTGGTCAATCATGGTCTTGCCCCCTATGACTGGTGAGGGCAACATGTGTATAGGAGTGCAAAAGAGATCCCAAACACACCAAGGTAACTAAGTATATTAAAAAAAATATATAAAAATAATTAAAAATCCTAGGAATATTAGACAACTTAGTTTATTTCACCTGATGACTAAACACCCTCTAATATTACCGGGAAGGATTAGGTTAGTGTTTAGTGTGTTGATCGTTGGGTGAAATAAACCGGAGTGCCTAATCTTCAAGTGGTCTTAAAAATATCCAGTGCAAAAGTGTATCATATTATTATACAGGATAAACCAGGTCCCTGACACCACCACCACCACATTCTCAAGGGCCAGCAGTCTCAGCAAGGTAAGGGCACTGATGACTGATGGCCAAGCAAAGTTAAAATATAGATTACAAGTCGACCACATACAGTTAGCACCCAGTTTACGTAAGAACGACCACATACAGTTAGCACCCAGTTTACGTAAGAACGACCACCTGCACAGTTAGCACCCAGTTTATGTAAGGAAGGTTTTTTTTACTGCACTACCCTGCTCTACATACAGGCGGCAGCTACACCCAAAATATTAATGACCACATGCATGTAGTATTATTTTAGTAAGACATCAAAAGTGCAAAGCATTCGGCATCCCGGTTAGATTAAGTGAATGAGGAGGTCTTTCCCAGGCTTGAACAGTGTCGCCACTTACCCTCTCCATGGAGGAATCCCTTGAACTGTCAGACTTTTCAGGGCCTTTCATCCTTACTTCAGTATTATCCATATCAATAACAGGAACTTTGTGGTCTTTATCTTTGCCTTCTGTAGACTTCACTGGTTCTTCTTCATTCTCTTTAACTTGAATACCTCCAGCAGCCTCACTCTCCTCCTGCTGTGTCCCTAACCTACTGGGAGGGTCCAACTCTTCATCATTATTAATATCAAAATTACTGACTAACATTTGAGGACAGCTGTTGACAAGAATGGGTTCTGTGGACTGACTTATACACTGGGAACCTTCACCCTTGCTCTCTGCCTCACTAAATGACTTCTCTCCTCCGCCTCCTCCGACACACACACCCTCACCTGAATTCATCCCAGGTGTAGATTTTCCTTCATTTTCAACACCAGCTTCTCCTTCTCTCATCCCTACTCCCTCTGATGGTCCTTTATTTAAGTTAGGATTATCTTCACCCACACAACTTATCTTCACATCATCGGATAAACTGTTTGTGTTTTTCTGGTTGTATTTTATTGTTTGCTCTTTTGTACCTGAAGTTATTGTTGTTTCACTGTTCATCTTGTCCTGTGAGGCTGTGGAGTTGTCTACTGTGGAGTTGTTTGCTGTGGAGTTGTCTACTGTGGAGTTGTCTACTGTGGAGTTGTCTGCTGTGGAGTTGTTTGCTGTGGATTCCTTCTTCAGAAGCTCCTCTACGATCTGCAGTGTTGTGTCCTGTAGATACACAAACAATTATCAGCTAAGGCAAAAAAGAAGAGCAATTGTTAGTTAAAATTGACATAAAACTAGTCTCAGAAAATGGTATAAAGATAAACATGTAGATTGTGTGAATGACTGTATTTATCCCAGCAACATTGTCCTAACTTTGCCGCAAGTTAGGACAATGTTGCAGGTGTACCACAACGCTCGGGCTGGTCGGTGGCGAGATTCAGAGGATCGATGAATCAACACAAACAATGTCTAATGTCTTAATGGTACAATTATATATTCAATCATCAACTGCCATCAACTTCACATTCATTTTCTTGTTAGTCTCTGTACAGTAAGTGACGAGCGTATGTTACCGTACTGAGGTCACTGAAGCGATCACTTATAGGCATTAGTTTAGTGTTATCTTAATTCTACATAACTGGAACATGTAGATAATTTAGTGCTTCTTTAAATACTTGGAAATACATTGTTGGTTGAGGTATCTCTATCATACTATGTTTCTTTCCTTGCTCTATTTCTTCTCTCCTCTCTCTCTCTCTCTCTCTTTCCTCTTATTATCTGTCTTTCAATCTCTTTCTGGCTCACTTTTTTTACTCTATATATCTTTACATTTTTGTTTCCATGCAAAAACACTTAACACGGTAATGCACGCACGCACGCACGCACGCACACACACGCACATGCACACGCACACACTTTAACATCCTGAGATCATGTAAATCTCTTCCTTTTTTTTTTTAATAAGAAACAAATTTTAGCCAGAATTTGAATAATATTTTAAATTACCTCCATTAATTTTATGAAGAGTATTACCTACCCTCTTGATCCACAGCCTCTTAGCAAACTTGATAATATGGTCTGGGGCAAGACAATAGCTCTTAGGGTAAAGGTAATTTGTACAGGTCAGAGGTATGGAAGAGTTTCATCTTTAATATAATACGGATAGTGGATTAAAAAAAATATAATCTATACCTTTTGTGTTGAAATCAGAATTACAACGGTTACACCATAATGTAATCCTGGTCCCTCAACCCGTTTTCACGATAACACAAACAAAACGCAATTTATACACAAAACACGATTATTGTAACGACGAGTATTACCGTTGCTTTTGCTCGGGAGAAAAACATAAGAAAATCAAGGTAGAATTTTTCAATCATCAAGTGCAAAAAAAAACATGGAAAGACATCGTCACTATGAGGTGTTTAATCATTATAGTTTCCATATAATTTGGTCGCCAGCTCGAGGTGTGTGAGATAGATATGTTCTTAGGTCTCCACTTAAAGGGGTTAACTAATACATTAACTCCCTCTTTATACAACACATTAGGGGTGACGGTGGTAGACTGGTCGCACCGTGTCATAAGGTTTGATTCTCGGGAGGTTGTCACCGGGCACTGGGGGTTTCCTCCTGTACTAACTCTGGGCGAGGAAGCTGACGCAAATATGAGTCAAATTTTTAATCCCTCTGAAAACACATAGATAAATCCCACAATGTATACTATATATGTATCACCCATGAGAGATACATAGATACAATACCCTGATGACACCGAGCATGATACGTAGAACTTCGGCTCCCGGATACATCTCGTCGCCGGTGAACTGTGGCTTCAGGGTGCGGAAGACTGTGTTCATGACTTTCTTCACCGTGTCTACCACTTGTTGGGGACTACTGCTGCTGTTCTTCATACGATGGACGGTCTCCTCTAGCAAGATCTTCTCGGCTATTAGCTTCTGCACTTGTACCTGTGGAATATACAGAGCTTTAGCTACCTCAACACACACACACACACACACAGAGTATATGATTAAATTTACGGTAAGGTGTCCTGAAGAACTCTATTTAAAAATGATGTTTGTAATTATTATTTTGCCATCAGACCCAACGTACAATAACAAATACTGTTTATATGTGAAAGAGAAACTAGGCCCCATAGACCTGTTAGGGAGACTGAATATATCGCACAAGGTGGCAAGGTGGCCATTACTGTACTCAGGCTTCCAGTACTTCACCAACTTGTAAAATAATGGAAGATACTGTACAGACAATCCTCAGTTCTCAAACAACCTCTCTAAATACTACTGTACATGATTAATCTTTGCATCTGGGTATCAATTAATTATTTATATATAATTCCTTTAAAGGGATTTATTGATCTGGTTTACAAACACATTTTTTAGGAACTTATTTAGCTGGTAAACTGGGGACAGATTTTACAGTACAGTGTCAATATACAGTTGGGTGGAGAGGACGTGACCTGTGATGGGACTACTAACACTCAGGACAACTCAATAGTGTCACAACATGGTGGAATAGCACACCAAACATAGATGGCCACTATTAAGGTACTGTTATAAGGACAACTCACTCACCTCAAGTTCACTGTTGTTCTGGCTTCTCTGCTTCTCCAACTCAGAGCAGCTGTTTTGTAGCTGTTGAATTTCCTGCTTCAGCTGTTAAGAAGAAAAAATGTAACCCAGTATTTGTTAAAAAGTAAGAAAATACTAATATTTACTCTAAGAATCCTGTCTCATTACTCTTGCTATTAATTAAAGAATAATTTTCACCTGAGAATGTAAAGGACTTGTCATATACACAGTTCAGTATTATACGCCTGAATGACCTGACCCGACCCGACCCTGAATGAGTACAAGCTGTAATGGTATATTATGGAGTCAGCCACACCGTCTCACTTAACCTCCTTAGTAAGTCTCTAAGGTGGCACGCGCCGCATACACTTACCTCCTTAATCTGGGCTGCCTGTGTGTGAAGAACATCCTCTTGTCCACTGCTGTGCTCTTTGTCTTTTGCTAACTCCTAAAAAAAGAGGAAAATAAAACTACTGAATTAAAACACCGCCTCAGTCCGCTCTCAGACTCACTCCAGCTGGAGTTAAATTCAGTCTAGAGTCTCATACACGGGGGTACAAGTAAGTCTGATCAGTCATATTCAGTCTACATTCTCATACAGGGGGGTACAAGTAAGTCTGATCAGTCATATTCAGTCTACATTCTACAGGAGGGTACAAGTAAGTCTGATCAGTCATATTCAGTCTACATTCTCATACAGGAGGGTACAAGTAAGTCTGATCAGTCATATTCAGTCTACATTCTCATACAGGAGGGTACAAGTAAGTCTGTTCAGTCATATTCAGTCTACATTCTCATACAGGGGGGTACAAGTAAGTCTGTTCAGTCTTAGTGGTGGTACTGGAGGGGGAAGGGGGGGGACCTACTTAATGTTTTAGGTCTTTGGGTTAACAGTGAATCATTAAAATAGTGTCGACTGTTCTCTATTAACGACATAATAGTGATCTTGTAAATGCTTCCGATGAGGAGTAATTAAGTATCCAGTTAACTAGTCAATAACTTGTACTTCACCTTGTGTTTAGGAAATTCACCAAGACCATATGTACAATTGATACACGTTGACCAGGCTACAATTGTCCTCACTCTTCTATCCTTCCTCTTGTTAATATCTCACTACTGTTAATCTTGTCACACACACACACAAAAAAAGAGGTCAAACAAAGGTCATTATACTGCAGTACTTATATAAGGTCAAAGGTCATTATACTGCAGTACTTATATAAGGTCAAAAGTCTTTATACTATAGTACTTATATAAGGTCAAAGGTCATTATACTGCAGTACTTATATAAGGTCAAAAGTCTTTATACTATAGTACTTATATAAGGTCAAAGGTCATTATACTGTAGTGGTTATATAAGGTCAAAGGTCAATACATTACAGTGCTTATATAAGGTCAAAAGTCTTTATACTACAGTACTTTTATAAGGTCAAAGGTCATTATACTGAAGTGGTTATATAAAGTCAAAGGTCATTATACTACAGTACTTATCTATCCTCACTTACTTCCCCCACCTGCTGCTTCAGTGATTTAACCGTTGCTTCAGCCACCTGAACCAGACCCTTTAGTCTCTCGGCTTCAACTCGAGCATCACACAGCTGTTCCTCTGCCGATGTCTTCCCCTCGGTCGTAACTGACAACTCTTGCCGCAGCGTTTGTTTACTCCCCTCGGCAGCGGTGAGTCGGCTCTTCACGTTATCGTTCTCCCCCCGTAGTGTTTTGAGTTCCTCTCTCAGTTCGTCCACCTCTTTAACTAACTCCTGCTGCTGCGCTGTGTTCTGCTCCGCTCGTCTCCTCTCCTCGACTTGGATGTGAGATTTTAAGCCCTGGATCTCGTTTCTCTGGGTCTCTACGCTCCTCTGGGACTGAGACAACTCATCCTGTTACAAGAAGAAAATGACATCATAGTTCTGTATGTGATCTGGTGGCTGGTTAAATACTTCTCTATTCTTAATTAACATCATAGTTCTGTATGTGATCTGGTGGCTGGTTAAATACTTCTCTATTCTTAATTAACATCATAGTTCTGTATGTGATCTGGTGGCTGGTTAAATACTTCTCTATTCTTAATTAACATCATAGTTCTGTATGTGATCTGGTGGCTGGTTAAATACTTCTCTATTCTTAATTAACATCATAGTTCTGTATGTGATCTGGTGGCTGGTTAAATACTTCTCTATTCTTAATTAGCTTTAACTTAACCATTAATGATAAAACAAATCGATCATTAGACCCATAGTTTGGTTTGGTTGGGGTCTATTAGGTCTTGGACTGAGTGGCCTACCATACAACTACTGTACTGCCATTGGTTACACATACTGTAATACCCTCTCCTATTGGTTGGATTACACTATGTATCACTGTTACACATACTGTAATACCCTCTCCTATTGGTTGGATTACACTATGTATCACTGTTACACATATTCTCCTATTGTTACTTCATCTATAACATAGTTCAACTTCTTAGGCAGCAAATTGGGTAAAAATGCCTTTAAAATCTACTACACATAGACAAGGGATTCAGCTATACTTGCTCATGGTGGCCCTCTTTCAGGGGGGTACTTAGTGGGTGGCAGCTGCCCTGGGCACCAAGGTAAGGGGGGCGCCAAATTGCCTATGAATTGCCTGTACTGTACTATATTGTACTACTGCTACACTGGATAAGTTAATTCATAATCTCCAATTTATAAATACCGGGTATTAAATGTATTTATTATTAACACTTTTGTCAATATAACATTGTTTTGGTGGTGACTGGCAACCCGTCTGGCTGGGGCCCCCATGTGTCTGTTTGCCGCCGTCATTGACCAACTCATTAATCTTTGGTCACGTGTTGGAGCCGTAGACAGTGCGTACTGCCAAATTTAATCATATCAATGTGAGTTTGTCTTATTATTTATAGGATTCTCTCTCACTTGCTTACTGACCTTTCTTACTGGATTCAGTAAGATAATCTACAAAAAAAATTTTGATAATAAAGACACCATGCCTAATATTGTGCAGTCCACAAGACAAGCTGAGCTGTGCCTTTGGTTATTGTAAAAAGTTCATTTTAGTGGCTTTTCTTTCATGTGATTTTTATTGTCCGTGTTATTTTTGTGTGTGTGATTTATATTTATTTTATGTGATTTTCAGTTATCTTAGGATAACTAAATGTAGATTATGTGTGTTTTGAGCAGCATATTGGTGATTACTTATAGATAATTATTCCAGTTCTTGAAGTTGAATTGTTCAATCCTTGATACAACCATAAAATTACACATCATCATCAGTGTCTTAGCAATCCCTCATTTACTATTATGCTACATTATTTATATTAATTAAAATTTAGTTGATATAACTATTTGTGGTTGAAGTGTGGTTGTGGGGAGTGGAGGGGTTAGTGGTGGTGGGGAGCCTTAAAGGGAGGGGGGGCGCCAAATTCAGCCATTGCCCTGGACGCCATCAAGGCTGGTTACGGCCCTGCCCTCTTATGACCTTTAATTTAGGAGAGTTTGGGGAAAGATCCTTCTAGTACACACACAGAAAAGGAAAACAAATTAAAAAGGTACACAGAACGACAGTAATATTTGGGCAGCTTGAGGCAAAATCTTTACGAAGTTTGGAAGTAATGCTCCTGAAAGAACTGTAATAATTTTTGTGTGGTAATGATCAATAAATATATAGCTGGTGGGAGAGTTAGCACCATGAGTATAGGCCCTCAGACTTCAGTGGGCATCCAGCAGAAACAACTGACCTGTATAGTGACACCCTCAGTGATTTAGATTTGTTTTATACCTATTTTACCTTCATTAATGGTAACTAAGAAGAGGCGGAACATATGACACAATCCAATGATACTGTGAAAGTTAGGTTAGGTTAGGGACTAACCTGTAAAGACTTCAACTGCTGCTGGGTTATGGAGAGCTGGGCAGTGATTGAAGATTTCTCCTCTCTCAGACTCAGGACCTCTGATAGACTGATGCTGGTACCTGCTTCTTGTTGTTTTGCTATCAGCATGTCTGTCTTCTCTTCCAATAACCTGTTATAAGATGGGAGTTTGAGTTTTGTTTCAATTTTTCGGGGAATAGCCCACCCAGGCACAGGTCATCGACCCACAACAGGGCCGGGGGGAAATAGGAGTAAAAAGAAATTATAAATAGAAAACAAAATGACTATGTTAACCTACATCACGAAGATGCCTGAAAACCAGCTTTTTGAAGTGAGACAGATTGTATGAGTATGGAAACACAGAAGAAGACAGAGCATTCCACAGTGTGAGGAAAGAAGGAGGTACTATAACAGGTTATTCTAGTGTGACTGACATCCACAGAGAAACGGTGGGCACCGCTGGCAAGACGTGTGTTACGAGCCCACGGCCTTGCCGGCGGTACACAGGATGCCAAATCCACTGAACAATGCCCGTTAAAGTACCTGTAAAAGAGAGACAGTAAAGCAACATTGTGGCGAAGAGAAAGGGAAGAGAGATTGTCGACTAAAGGAGGAGAGTTAATAAGACGAAATGCCTTTGATTCCACCCTATCTAACAGAAGAAGAGCCACCCCAGATATGAGAGCAGTACTCCAAGTTAGGAAAAATGATTCCCTTATATACTTGAAGCAACTGCTCAGGAGTGAAGTAGCTATGGCATCTGTACAGCATTCACAGTAAACTCTCTCTATAAAGTAATGGACACAGTATACCCTCTCAATACAGGCAAAGGTTAACACACTTCCTGGTCTTTCCTAATGCAGAAAAGAATGAGATCTGGAGCAGAATACTAGTAAGCAAATGTCAGAGTGGCATGAACCTGCAGGTGATAACTTCGGAGAAACGATCAGGTAAATTCAACGATGTGTAATGGAGCGCCACACCAGAGTACAAGAATACCAGTGTGGTGTTAACGTCTGAACCGCTTGTATGTGTCGAAAGAAGCAAGGACCAGCAAGTGATAACCTTAGCGAAGCGAACTAGCGAGGCGGTACTTTTGATAGTTGATGAAATGTTTTGATTTACGGGGAGAACTACAGTGTGTGTGGTGAAGTGAATCATGTGGAAATTCAGCATCATTGTATTTAGATTTTACCTGAATATATTATAGTTTTGATAATCAGGACGTGTTATTGACCTTCCTATTCCATTCCTCCTGCCATTCTACAGTGTTTCATGAGCTGGATGTCACTTGGGAATGGGAGTTAGCTCTTAACTCATTCCTAACCCGAGAAGATAAAGCCGTCAAACTTTTGTGACGTGAAAACAACAGCGAGCGACCAAACAAGCTGGTACAATGGCAGCAGACAATGAACGAATGGGTGTCACGATGCTAGGGTTTGAGGAGATAGACTGCGAGATACATCGGCCAATCATAGGCATCCTGGCCATTGGGGATGTATGTAGCTTATCAGTACAGCCACTATTTTAAAATGACTCCGCGCTACATATGATACCTGACCACTAGTGCTGTCGTTCATCTCACATCAGTCACCACTCACAGGCTGGTCTTTACTGATATACAAATTGACGAAGAGGCTGTAAGATATGACATTAGAACCCAACAAGAGACTATGTAGTGTGTAGAGCTGCCACCAGGTAACCTTGTCGAACTAATGTGAAGGGAAACATCACAGCAATGCAAATATGGAAAGGCAACAAGAGAGAGGAAATGAGGAAGAGAATATATTGCCATCATGTAGTACAACAGTAAGAGAGGCCAGGCTACCATCATGTCAACTATCATGTATTACAGCAGGATATAGATCTATTATACTGAGTAACTGACTTTTGATTCTTCTGAAGCAACTGAGTCACTGATGCATTAAGAGAGGCAATCGCTGTCTCCTTATCCCCTAATCTTGTTTTCATTTCGTCGTTGTCGCTGACGATCGTTGTGATGTGCGTCAGGAGACCGTGAGGATCCACGCCTAGAGCCGAGTTGTGTGCGAACTGATCTTGGTAGTAGGGCGCCATTCTGGAAGGCACGACGGCAGACTGGAATGCGCTGCCGCTACCTTGTTGTTGCTCCAGCTTCTCGATCTATAGAATAATAATAATGATCCCGATAAAGTAAATAAATAAATAAAAACAAAACACACACGAGTATATTTCTTAAGTGAACAATTTCTAAATATACTACAGGGTGTCCATAAATGATTACCCTAAACACAGTATGATCTCGTGTTATAATCAGGGTAATCATTTATGGACACCCTGTATATTCTTAACTACTTGAACTGTCTTGTGTAAAAGGTACTTATCTCAATTACAATCTTACAATTAGATTTACCTGACTCACAAGGTCAAAATGAGAGGTATTCCTGATTTACCTGGCTTACTAGGTTAAAATGAGAGGTATTCCTGATTTACCTGACTCACAAGGTCAAAATAAGAGACATATTCCTGATTTACCATTTATACCAGGACTGCACTCCTAGATAAGCCAGGTACAGTATAAACCAAACTAATGTAGACTGTAACAAGTTTCCATTGTATCATTGTGACATTTTCATTTGAGCATTTATGCATTATTTATGACCTACGATGTGATATAAATAACCTAACCTAACCTAACCAAACTACTGAATGTTTCTTTACTATCTACAACAGTTGACATTGTGGAACTATATGACAAAATATAAAAAGGAAGAGATTTTTTTTACACACAACACTAGTATGTCTTCTGGCTGATGGTGAGGCCATAGTGGTTACTTCCACGGCTATATTGTAATACTCTTATCACATTGTGTTTTGTTACAGCATAAAATATACAGTAAACCCTCGATAACTTGGCATTTGATAACTCAGAATTTCATATAACTCAGTATTTGATAACTCGGAATTTCACATAACTCAGTATTTGATAACTCGGAATTTCACATAACTCAGCATGGATTTGGTCTAGGAATATATTAGTATAACTCGGGAAATGTCGAGATATATAAAATTATCTGGGAAAATCTGGGCATATCTGGCCACCTGTGTCACCTACCATGCCTCTGTGTCACCTACCATGCCTCTGTACCAAACATAACACAATATTGAATGAACTACAGTTTGTATGGCTGGATATATCCCAAATAATTTATATATCTGATGAAACTTGATATAAATACACACAATCCGCGAGGGGGGGGGGGTAAAACAGGGGAACAGCCACTGGACTTAAGAGTGAATTTAACTCATCTCAACGTCAACTGTCAACAGATGTCAGCGCTGTTTGTACATAACCAACAAAAGCGTTTCTCACACCCACGAGCAGATTATTAAATACTTTATCCACTAACTTAGCATTTTCCTGTCTTGTGTTGTGACAAGATCTAAGTAATAATATATACTACTAAGAAGTCCTGTAGAGGTTTAACATTCTCATCCTCTGTCAACAAGCATCAAGAAATTTGGTGCAAATGAACGAAAATCTCGACGTCTGTCTCTGGGTCAATAGAGATCCGCCAAATTAATCGCAATAATTACCAATTAAACTGCACATTATTTGTCTATTAACATATCCAGACATAGTGGAGGTGCCAGACAAACCAGCACAGAAGTAAGAGGTCCGCTGTGGTAGCATCTTGGCCATATGACAATTTTACCTGAAGTAGTTCCTGTGATAGTATTTCTTCATAACCATATAAACACCAACCAGGTAAATGTAAAGTTGTTTATATGTGAATCGAGTCCTTGTGAATCTGATATAAAGAAAAGTAACCCCTGGATAACATTTACCTTGCCCACGAGACAGTCAATCTTATCCGACATCTTGGACACGGATATTTTCAGCTCGGTGTTCTGTGATCTTGTCTCGGAGAACAAGAGAGAGAGAGTTGGGTCAGAGGCTGGAGGAGTGACCTGTGGTGCAACTGGAGCTGCTGCCGCCATTGGTGAGTATCCCGGAGGAGCCTAGAATGTATCAAAACTCAAGTGGAACTCAAGTGGAACTCTACACATCACATTTATAATAGCCAAATAGGGTGGAGGGTAGTGAGGTAGTGGGTGGAGGGCAGAGGGTGGTGGGTGTAGGGTAGAGGGTGTAGGGTGTAGCGTAGTGGGTGTAGGGTACAGGATGTAGGGTATGTGTGTGTATGTGGGTGGGAACAGTGGAGAAAGTCAGGAGTGACACACACACACACACACACACACACACACACACACACACACACACAGCTAGCAACATCATCTTACCACCATGGTCTGTTGTTGCCACGGAGATGACTGATATACCACCAGCTGCTGTGGATGAGCAGAGAGGTGAGCAGGTCGAGGGGCCGGCTCAGGTCTCCGGGAGTCAGAGCGCGTCGACGGGGCTCTCGATCTTACCGCAGGAGTCGCCTCTAACTCCTCCATCGACCCGGACATTGAGTCGCTGTGACGTCTCGTGTTCTTTCGTCGGGAGATTTCTTCCTGTTTGTTAAAGAGGAAGAAAATAGATCGGAGAGACTGTATTTATGCTCGGCCATATCAGTACAGTGGTCCCTCGGTTAACGAACACAATTCGTTCTAGAAGGTCATTCGTTAACCGAAAATTTTGTTAACCGAAACCATTGCAGTAATGTACACTTACTTTGAGGTGTGTATGTGGAAGGCTCCTGGTTGATGATGATGATGATGGGAATTAGAATGGGGGTGGAGGAGAAGGGAGAAGAGAAGGAGGTGGGGGTGAAAGAGAAATTACCCCATGCTTGATGCCGTCATTTCACCCATAAAATTTTAAGTTCACTTGGTGTAATTCAAGATTACTTTCTTTAAATCAACACTGCACTGCACTATATATTGTCAATATGTTAAATAAATTTCAGAATGACCAATAATTGTACTGTAAAAACATAATAATACTCTGTGTTCAAGAAAGCCACAAGCAAGATGTTTCCTCCACTGAACAGAGATACAAACTGAGGCCTTGGTGGGTGAGTGAAGTGGCTGATGGGTGCACCAAAAACTAGTTCCCTGTACTGCAATTATGTTAAATAAGTGTTAAAATGACTAAAAAATTTAATATAAAACTTGGAAAATTATTGAATAGTACAACCTTCTTGATATTTACTCCACTTTTAACTCCACTTAGAACCGATTTCTGTATTGGCGGACTAATCTTCCAGCTGGTGAGCAAGCCAAAGCATGTCGAAACATTTTCGTAAGAATTTCGTTAACCAAATTTTTGTTCGTTAAACGAAATGAAGATTCTTATGTAAGGTAATTCGTTAACCGAAATTTCGTTAACTGAGGGACCACTGTAGTCTTATTATTATCGATTCTTTATCTGTATTTTTCCGGCTAACTAAACTGTTTCAATTCAACTGATGTGATAAATAAAATAAATCACAAAAGATATGTAATCAGTGCCAACAAACTATTAATTAATTACCACATACATGTAATCACTTATTGTACTTGTTATTATTAGATTACATTAATGACGGACCGTTACTTACGACACATAGATACTTACCACCTCACTTTCTGAGTCAGTTGCCAGCGAACGGCTCGTGGCCGGTCTAGAGGGAAGTAAAGGCTGGCCGACCCGCGCCATACGGGAGACGAGGGAAGCCTTGGTCGACGAGCCGACGTCGTCTTTCACCTGTCCACCTGGATCTGTTGAATGTTGGACCATAATAAAACTTAATACATTACAGTGCTATAAGTATGTGACACAATGGTGACTACAGATCCATCAGAACTGTAAGATGAGCTAGTTGGTACAATAAACAAACGGTGAATGAGAGACTATACAGTCGACCCTCGTTAATTCGGACTAATAGGGGGGGAAGGGTGTCCGTTTTAGCCGATTGTCCAAATTAACTGATTTTGGGGTTAATATTGCATAATATTGCATTATACATTTATGTGTATGTTTATTTGAGTGCCCCATCACAGGAGTCCGTTTTCTCTCACTTCAGGACGCCTGAGTCGTCCGTTTTCTCTTAATCTTAGAGTGCACCAGAGACTTCATTATTCCTTAGAAGTGACACAGAATTTGAAATTGCAACCCCAATTACAACTGGGACAATCCCAGAACCAGAAATTTGATACGGACAGTTCAGGTTTCGTCCAAATTATCCGAAATCTGGATTAAAGGGGTCCGAATTAACGAGGGTCGACTGTACAGTGTTACTCTGCTCACCAACTTTATCTCCTACAGTACCGGGAAAAGAGATCGCAGCAGTGAGAAACTTTCACCTTTTTTTATATCAATTATGGAGAAGAAAAAAACTGTAGCTGTAAGGAGCGGTGGATGAGTCGACACAACACTTGCCTACTGCTAGCCAAGAGTGCCCTAGTTCACCCAGCCATAAATATATACTGTACCTGACTTTACAGTGGGATAAGTGAAGGCAATCAGGTACAGTGCTTATCACCTGGCTGTATTCTCTAATGGATCAACAGGAGTATGAGACCCACTTCTCACTGCAACCTTTACATCTACACTTTAAAATATTCTATCAAGTCCAAAACTACATTGAAAGTGTGAGGCAATAATCCAATGTAGTATTACAATAACTGGTTGAAACTTCTATAGTCATCAGAATCTGTTTTATATGTATTTGAAAAGACATAAAAAAAAAATGAATCTAGAATAATTTCACCATTTTGTCTGCTGGGAATACTCACCCAAGAAGTACTAACCAAACAATATTAATAAAATATTCTAATACTCAAATAACATTGTCTCTAAGCTTAACTAAACATGAAATAAATAACAAAAATCAAACTTTCATAAAATACTCAATAACTCAGATTTTTTTTCTACCTCAATATATGCTGACTTAACACAGAGCTTTGATAATAAGGGAGAGAAATATATTGTTAAATTAATCCACCTGGCAATTTTAAGAGACTGAAGAGTGAATAAGAAAAGTTGTGGGGCAATTATCAATGTATTTCCTAGAACTTTAAAATAATTCCACATGAAGTATTGTATTTTATTGTATTGTATAATTTTCTAGACCCGCAACGTGTAACCATGTCAAGTAGTTGATCCAGTGTCTGACTTATTCAGACATCCATAAGAGCATCATTTACCCAACTGTAGGGTGTCCAAGAAAGATGTCCCTGCCTCCTGCCTCCTTCCAACTTACAGTGTCTCAGGGAGCAAGCAGGGAGGGAGGCACGGAGCAGGGAGGAAAGGAGGAGATTTATGAACACTGGGGGGGGGGAGAAATCATTGTACTCATCTCACTGTCATTGTATTTGTCTCACCATCATTACATTACAGAGCCCAGCCATCACACAGGTACCTTGGGGCAAGTGCTCTAAACTTCCCGATCCAATGGAGTTCTTTTCCTCCCGTTGCGCCTGTTGAGTGTCCACGTGCGGGGTGCTTCTTCCCGATTGGTCCCCTCCCCGTAGTTTGACGCGTTCTACCGTCACGTCGTACATCAACAGACCATCACCACCCTGTTGGTACACGTGGATGGAAACTGTTAACTCCGTGTCTATTGAATATTAGGTTTGTCTGTTCGATTATTTTTCTTCTTTTTTTTTAGCTTAATCTAATCAAATCCAACATAACACTAATTCTACCTACTGTAATCTAACCTAACCTAATTTAACCTCATTCAACTTACCCAACCAACCTAACCTAACTTAACCAAACCCAACCTAACCTAACTTAACCCAACACAACCTGACCTAACCTGACCACCAATCACACATTCCTCACTACTCAAAACAACTCTCTCTCTCTCTCTCTCCACACAGCCAACCAGTATCTATCGTCAAACTCTTCGTCCTGGATGAGGGTTAAATTTTACGAGAAAATCCAATGAAGAGGAGAGTTGTTTTTATTAAGTCTTATTGTGTTCATACTAGTGATAATGGATCAACCGAAACCCCGACCATTTGGAATTTTAGTCTTTACGTATGGAAGATTAGCCCCCACCCCTTCCCCCCCACTTTCAATTGTTTCAGGATGGTTAGGTTAGGTTAAGTTGTTTTAAGGGAGGAGTGGGTGGGGGACTTCAAGTGAGCATTTCTGGGGGGAGCTAATGTTCAGGTTGGTTAAGGGGGTGAGAAGGATTTCAGGTGAGTATTTCTGGGAGGGGTGGTGCTAATTTTCAGCTTCCTTAATCCATAAAGGCTAAAATCGCAAAAAAATGGTCTTGCTTGCGGTCTCGGCTATAACAAGACTGGTACGCTAGATACAGTTACATGAGGAATCTTGTCCTGAATCTGATCTGTCATCGTTACTGCATAAATCACCTGAGTTTTGAAAATAAGAGCAAATATTGATCTTTCTCGAGTACGGTGAAACCTCTCTCCTTCGGCCGTGAGATGGGGGTTTCACGAAGCCCTCTCCCTATGTATTATACAGGGTTCTTACTGGAGATAAATGATACCCGATAGATTAGATCATACACTGGAAACTCTCACTTAGCTTGGTGCATGGAGACAAGACCACAGTACTGTACCTTAGCTTGGTGCACGAAGATAAAACGTCGAGTATTTTTTTGTGCACCCATCACTCCTCCCTCCCAGGTGCCAGCAACATCTTTTAGCTTGATACGATGGCCGGCCTTAGGTTCCTCAATCTAAAAGGCGGTGAAGTGCGAATTAGCATTAATATAAAGTTATGTTTATAATGAGATTAGTGCCCCCCCTCCTCCTCCTCTCTGTCTCCCACACGCTTTATTTCACCTGATTATTAAACACCCTAAACCCGCCCCCACACCCACCCACCCCCACACCCTAAACCCACCCCCACCCACCTCTTGATTCTTCTTCCCATTCATGACGCTCCACATGGACACCACCACTTGAGTTTGGTCTCCCTCTCGTAATGACGGTCCTTCACCCGCAGTCACATCCTGTATCACCTGAGCACCGCCACCACCCATACCCAGCCCCGCCAGTGCTCGACAAACTCCAATCTGAAAGTTAGAAATTTACTACGTCAAGGTCTGGGTAGGAGTTAATATTATCATTTATTTAACTACAGAAGGATAAATCTGAATACAATGTTCTATTTATAAAGTAAGTTTGTTCTCCTGGTTCTTATGGATGGATAACACGGTAGGAAAATGATGAAAGAAAGGAGGGAGATGAGGGAGAACAGTACAAGGCAAAAGGTGGAAATGACAAGAATAGAATGAACCAAATGTAGAAATTCTCCTCACTCTCACACAGTTAACCTTCAACTTCCTACCACAGAACAGTACAGTGTAAAAATTAAATTCTTGACACAATAGTCTACTGTACCGTCCCACAGCTAACAAACAGTATAGACACTGAGGACAATGGTAAGTGATAAGAAAATACAGATTAGTGTTCATAAGACAACTGCAGCATCCATGTTAGCCGGAACAATCGGTGCAGAGCTCTTCCGGGAATGAGAGATTTCCGGGTAGCGAGACGACTCTCTCAAACCCAGAAAAAATCCTGGAATTTTTCTGGGCACTGGGAAAAGTTTCTCGGAATTTTCCAGAAATTGTGTATTATCCACAGTACAGTATTTCATCCTCAGAATTTGCTCTCACACCCGGAATAAAAATTTGCTAAGAGTTTCAGGAATTTTTTCAGAATTTTCCAGAAAATGTGCTTCTTGGAAAATCATTCCCAAACCCAGTCAATCAGAAGGTCAGTCAGTCAATTAGAAAGTCAGTCAGTCAATCAGAAGGTCAGTCAATCAATCAGAAGGTCAATCAATCAAACAGAAAGTCAATCAGAAGTGGTATCCATCAGTCCATCAGAAAGTCAGTCAGAAGTCATATCCATCCATCAATCAGTAAGTTGCATCCATAGAGCTAACAGACGCTCCTGGAGCCTGGACACGGAAGGCTTGGAAACATACCTGCGTAACAAACTCCACGTACTGGGCCCCCTCGAGCATGATGGACCAATTCCTCTGTTGGTCGTCGGTGAAGCTCCCGTAGTTATTTGGCTGTACCTGTTGGGGTGTAGTGTGTCTCTGAGTAGTTTATACACATGGATACATATATACGCTTAACTCACAAAATATACAATACACAAGCATATACGTAACATACATATATCTATACACATATATATATACAGTATTGTATTCTCTAACAAAGCACATATACATTCTCTCACAAAACACACACACAAAAAAAACACACATACATGCACATACACTCACATAAACACACAAGCACACACATACTGTACACACACACTAAAAACCTAGAACACACAAACATACATCACATACATACACACACACATACATAGTCTAATTAAATGGTCAAATATAAATTATTTTCCCAGTTTTAAACATTAAGAAAAACTAATAGAACTCCATTAAAAAGCAATATACTGTATATATTAAAACTGAAGAGGAACCCAAAATACTTTATTGACAAGCTACACTGAAACCTTTATTTAATGGAGTACAGGGTGAGGAAAGTCCATTATATTGAGGGTCCATTTGATGTGAAACCTCTATCTAACAAAGCTATATAGAGATGAAAGTCCATTATATCAAGGGCCCATTAGATGTGAAACCTCCATCTAATAGGGGTGATGGTTGGGGGTGGGGGTGATGGCTGGGGGTGGGGGTGATGGTTGTGTGGGGTGATGGGGTGGGTGGGGGGTGGGCTGAGGGGGGTGGGGCTGGGGCTGGGGGTGAAGGTTGGGGGCGGGGCTGGAGGTTTGCTTAATGGCTGTGGCCCCTTTTTGTTATGAGAATAAGCTTTTGGTGTACAGTAATTAAGTAGTTTATTTCTGATAAAGTTTTTACCCAACTCTTCACTAATACTAATTTGCCCAAGGAAAGAAATATATTCATAATTTTTTTTTAACAATCCTAAAATAACCAAATACAGTAATATCGCCCTTAGCCGGAATCCCTCATACCCGGAACTCTCCGACAGCCGGAATTGAAATTTTCTCGGAAGATCATTTTTCCGTGGGGGACATTTTCCTGAAAATTCGGAGAAAAATTTCCCGATACCCGGAAAATTCTGGAGATGGGGGAGTTTTATCCAGCTTTGAGAGAGTCGTCTCGTTACCCGGAAATCTGTCATTCCCAGAAGTGCTCTGCACCAATTGTTCTGGCTAACGGAGATATCACTTATGAAAATCTTGCCGAAGCCATTAAACAAATATTAACTGGTGGGGGTGGGGGGGGGGGCTTAATCAAGTAAACAAGCCGGCCAAGGACTCGGAGCGCCCCCCCGTCCAACCATCAGACAATGGCTCATACGGCAATGTTTTAACCTTATTACAAGTGTCGATATTAGCCTTTAAACTGTGGCAAGACCTATACACACACACGCACACACACACACGCACACACACACACACACACACACACGTGCACACACACACACACCACTCATTTCCCGCGGAGACATATAAAAGTGTGCGTTGTTCCCGTGTTTTGTTTTAGATCTGAGAGAGAGGTTTCCCGGCCTCTGGTTTCCCCCCTGTACTAACACTGGATACACCAACCAACCGCACCAATGGCTAGTAAACTTATAAGTGGTGAAAATTATAAAAAACAAAAGAATAAATTATCAATAAATACTGTACTAATCCTCCCTGGTGGCTAATAACTTAACCCAACACCACACACCCATAACTTCTACCTTGTCAGTCAAAACAAGAATTAGGGCTGATATCCCCAACTGAACTTCAAGTCAACTAGGTTCAACGCCAATATAAAACAACTAATTTATAACTCTTGGGTTGTAATAAACTCAATACAACTTATCTTCTGTTGTAGATGGTTCGTGTTTTTCCTTTACAGTGTATTGTTTTGTATTAGTTATCAGAGCCTTGGCTGACTGGTCTTAGCAATGCCTTTTAGGGGTGTGTTGAGTACTGCTTTTGTAATGTTGGTTATTTTTTTTCTTTTATGGGAAATAGCCCACCCGGATGCAGTCTTCATCCGTGTGTGTACTCGCAGATGGATGCAGCCTTCATCCGTGTGTGTACTAGCAGATGGATGCAGTCTTCATCCATCTGCATATTAACAGTACGGTAAAACCTCCATATAACACACACTTCTCTCCAAGTAGTTCATTACATGGAGGTTTCACATCTAACGGACCCTCGATATAATGGACCTCCACATCTAACGGACCCTCGATATAATGGACCTCCACATCTAACGGACCCTCGATATAACAAAATTTCCTCTCCATGGAATCTGATATATCCAGGTTTCACGGTACAACACGTTACCAACTCTTACAGTAAAGACAAAGTGCTGATGTATCCTGGCCCGAGTGAGGTGATCCTGCTTAGAACGATAGATCAACAACTGGAAATTCTTCTCCACACAGTTGCCCACGATGCAGCACATGGCTCGACCCTGAGACTGTGCCGCACCGTTCACACTGAAAATGAAAAATGACGATTCTGAGACCATGGGAGGGGTGAGGGGGGGGAATGGTTGGTTAGGTTTGGTTAAGGTTAGGTGTGGTTATGTTAGGTTTAGGTTAGGTTAAGTCTAAGTTGGTTGATTCATCTGACCTATCCTGATTGTCTTATAATGTACTATACTTTCAGACTTTTCTTTGGTTGATTCATTAGTCTTTTTACTTTTAAACTTAACCCCATCGTCTCACATGTTTTGTATATCATTTTACTTTTATCCTCTACGCCACCAATCGGCTCGTTAGCAACACACACTGCGATCTATTTCATTCACTAAATCCCATGAAGAAGGTGATCTATATTAAAGTGAACTATAGAGCCATTAACTTCTGCAATATTTTTCAGAGCTTTTGTTTTCAACTTTTGTTCCTGTGTTAATAGACAAATAAAAGACCCTGTAATTTCTTCCCTTAACTCAAACTATTTTAATGTCAAGCTTCAAGAAACAAGTTAGTTATTTTTTAGGATATATTTAATGTATAGTAGTTAGGTTAGGTTAGATAAGATTAGTAGTTAGTGGTTAGGTTAGATTAGGTTAGTAGTTACGTTAGGTTAGGTTAGATTAGGTTAGTGGTTAGGTTAGTTATTTTTTGTATATATTTAACATACAGTAGTACGGTTAGGTTACTTATTTTCAGGATAATTTTAACATACAGCAGTTAGGTTAGGTTTAAGTTAGGTTAGGTTAGACTAGGTAATGTTAAGTTAGGTTAGTTATTTTCAGAATCTATTTAACATACAGTAGTTAGGTTAGGTTTAAGTTAGGTTAGGTTAAACTAGGTAATGTTAAGTTAGGTTAGTTATTTTGGTTGGGTTAAGTTAGTTAGAGATATATTTAACACACAGTAATTATGCTTATACTCCTCAAGTTAAACCAGGTTGTACAATACAAGATGAAGCAACATAACTCGTACTCACTATAAATACACATGAACACGAGCGGCAATCAGGACTGTTGGGGCCTGTGGTGTACTCTGCTGTGATGGGGATGCTGTGCCGGTACTCTTGGCCTTGGTACTGTCAACTGAGTCCGTAGAGTCCGCTCGAGGCTGCTTCGGTGCCACGTACTTCAGGTTGGAGGGCTTGTCGGACTTGCCACCAAATAATGAGGATAATCTGGAACTGGGAGAGAGACAGTACAGTGTATACAGTATATAGAAGGGCTACACTGTTATACTGTACCACCAACACTGTACCACCAACAATGCATTAGTCTTACTGATGGTGTCTCACTACCACACAGCCTAACAACCAGTGGTTCAGTCGTTCACTAAGTTTCAACCACTACAACTTCTCGTGAGTGGTCCTGTTAACATACACACTGTGGTCCTGTTAACGTACACACTGTGGTCCTGTTAACGTACACACTGTGGTCCTGTTAACAAACACACTGTGGTCCTGTTAACATACACACTGTGGTCCTGTTAACATACACACTGTGGTCCTGTTAACATACACACTGTGGTCCTGTTAACATACACACACTGTGGTCCTGTTAACATACACACTGTGGTCCTGTTAACATACACACTGTGGTCCTGTTAACGTACACACTGTGGTCCTGTTAACATACACACTGTGGTCCTGTTAACATACACACTGTGGTCCTGTTAACATACACACTGTGGTCCTGTTAACATACACACTGTGGTCCTGTTAACATACACACTGTGGTCCCAGGTAACACACTGTGGTCCTGTTAACATACACACTGTGGTCCTGTTAACATACACACCGTGGTCCTGTTAACATACACACTGTGGTCCTGTCAACATACACACTGTGGTCCTGTTACATACACACTGTGGTCCTGTTAACATACAACACACACACTGTGGTCCTGTTAACATACACACTGTGGTCCTGTTAACATACACACCGTGGTCCGTTAACATACACACTGTGGTCCTGTTAACATACACACTGTGGTCCTGTTAACATACACACTGTGGTCCTGTTAACATACACACTGTGGTCCTGTTAACATACACACTGTGTCCTGTTAACATACACACTGTGTCCTGTTAGTGGTCCTGTTAACATACACACTGTGGTCCCGTTAACATACACACTGTGGTCCTGTTAACATACACACTGTGGTCCTGTCAACATACACACTGTGGTCCTGTTACATGTGGTCCTGTTAACATACACACTGTGGTCCTGTTAACATACACACTGTGGTCCTGTTAACATACACACTGTGGTCCTGTTAACATACACACTGTGGTCCTGTTAACATACACACTGTGGTCCTGTTAACATACACACTGTGGTCCTGTTAACATACACACTGTGGTCCCGTTAACATACACACTGTGGTCCTGTTAACATACACACTGTGGTCCCGTTAACATACACACTGTGGTCCTGTTAACATACACACTGTGGTCCTGTTAACGTACACACTGTGGTCCCGTTAACATACACACTGTGGTCCTGTTAACATACACACTGTGGTCCTGTTAACATACACACTGTGGTCCCGTTAACATACACACTGTGGTCCTGTTAACATACACACTACCTTGGTGTTGAGGCCGGGGTGAAGTCCTCGTCATCGTCATCATTGGGGTCATTAAAGAACATGTTGAAGGGCTGACAGAGACTCCTTGTTTACTGTACACCCACCAGCTGATACTGTCTGTCTGTCTCTCACATGACACCCCTAGGCTACACCGCCCTGATTTAAGTAATAATTAATTCATATTAACTATATTATTTATAGTAGTAGTAATAACTTCAGTATTAGAATAATCAATGTAGTAATATTAATGAACGATAATAATATTTACTAATAATTATTTTTATTTTATAATAAACTAAAAGTAATCATACTTTATTTTTATAATAATTAAAGTAATTAATCATAACTTAAAGTATCAGAAATAAATTATAATGGCCACTGTTTGTTTTCCCATTATTGAATGTTTTTTATGGCAGCTGAGTGTGGCAGCCTGTCCCCGAGTCAGTCTTCCCGGGACAGTCTTCCCGGGACAGTTCAAATTGTTGGGAGCTGAACGCCTCTTATAGTCATCAATAGTATGTTGAATTTCTTAACTCAGAATGTTTTACATGATTTGATAATGACTTATGTTTACCATTCATGTACAGTAGTTATAGTCCGCCTTTTTTACGCACTGTTGGTAAGTACTGAGCATGTACTGGCTCTCTATTACACTGTTGGTAAGTACTGAGCATGTACTGGCTCTCTATTACACTGTTGGTAAGTACTGGGCATGTACTGGCTCTCTATTACACTGTTGGCAAGTACTGGGCATGTACTGGCTCTCTATTACACTGTTGGCAAGTACTGGGCATGTACTGGCTCTCTATTACACTGTTGGCAAGTACTGGGCATGTACTGGCTCTCTATTACACTGTTGGTAAGTACTGGCATGTACTGGCTCTCTATTACACTGTTGGCAAGTACTGGGCATGTACTGGCTCTCTATTACACTGTTGGCACTGGGCATGTACTGGCTCTCTGTTATACTGGCTCTCTACTGTTGGCAAGTACTGGGCATGTACTGGCTCTCTATTACACTGTTGGTAAGTACTGGGCATGTACTGGCTCTCTGTTACACTGTTGGCAAGTACTGGGCATGTACTGGCTCTCTACTACACTGTTGGCAAGTACTGGGCATGTACTGGCTCTCTATTACACTGTTGGTAAGTACTGGGTATGTACTGGCTCTCTATTACACTGTTGGTAAGTACTGGGCATGTACTGGCTCTCTATTACACTGTTGGTAAGTACTGAGCATGTACTGGCTCTCTATTACACTGTTGGTAAGTACTGGGTATGTACTGGCTCTCTATTACACTGTTGGCAAGTACTGGGCATGTACTGGCTCTCTATTACACTGTTGGTAAGTACTGGGCATGTACTGGCTCTCTATTACACTGTTGGTATGTGGGGGCATGTACTGGCTCTCTATTACACTGTTGGCACTGGGCATGTACTGGCTCTCTACTGTTGGCAAGTACTGGGCATGTACTGGCTCTCTATTACACTGTTGGTAAGTACTGGGCATGTACTGGCTCTCTATTACACTGTTGGTAAGTACTGGGCATGTACTGGCTCTCTATTACACTGTTGGCAAGTACTGGGCATGTACTGGCTCTCTATTACACTGTTGGCAAGTACTGGGCATGTACTGGCTCCTGAATGTTTCTGCATCTGCGCCAGCTTTAAGCAACTCAGTTGGTGGTACAGTGGTAACGCGCCAATCTCTCACACTATGCCTGGGTTCGGTCCTCGGCTCGGGCACTCGTGAGAAGGGTGTTATATATTGTGACTACTAAATACCACAGGTTTCCTGGTCCCCGGTTTCCTCCTATACTATGATAAAGAATGTCAGGTCTTGAAAAAGCTCACACTCGGTCCGGTCACAACTCTCACACCGAAGTACTTGCAATTTCGGTAGCTCCAGGTATGAACACTCGAGGTGTTTATAAACTTACATTCACCCCTTGCCCGCCTATAGTACAAGCTGAGCAACTGTAGGCATTATATCCCTCAGGGTGCCTTTTACTTTACTTTTATCCTCTTCACCACTGATCGGCTCGCTAGCCGCTTGGGCGATCGGTCACGTCTCTGATTACTTTTCCTTTTCTTTTATCCTCTTCACCAAATGATCGGCTCGTTAGCCGCTTGGGCGATTGGTCACGTCTCTGTTACGCACTGTTGGCAAGTACTGGGCATGTACCGGCTCCTGAATGTACCTGAACCCACTCCAGTCTTGGTCAAGTCTGGTCTTGAAACAGCTCACACTCGGTGCCGTCACAACACTCTCTGGTAGATTGTTCCAACAGTTCACAACTCTCACTCCGAAAAAGTTTGCCCTCACAGTTTTGTGGACTTGCGGCTTCTTCAATCTTGAGCTGTGATCCCTTGTGGGGCGAGCGTCCGCCAGCTCCAAGGAAGGACACTCGACTGAGTAGTGCCCCTTGAGATGCTTATACACCTCAATTAGGTCACCCCTTGTCCGTCTTTAATATAAGCTAGGCAAGTTCAGGCGCTCCAATCTCTCAGGGTAACTGAGGTGCCGAAGTGCAGGCACCAGTCTGGTGGCCCTCCTTTGAACATTTTCAACCAATTGACAGTTCCTAGCATATCTCGGGGACCAGATGGGGTGACAGTACTCCAGATAGGGAAGCACTTCACTCTTGAAGATCGTTACGAGGGAAGGACCGTCTAGATATCTGAACGACCTTCTTATAAGACCCAATAATTTATTTGCCTGATTTACCTTCTTCTCGCAATGGCCCGAGAACTTCAGCTTATTGTCAACATACACACCTAGGTCCTTCTCACACACAGTCTGAACTAGTGCAGTTTCTTCATCCCGTTGGGATATATGATACGCCTCCTTACCGTTGGCACGCCCCAGGTGCATCCTCTTACACTTCCTGACATTGAATCTCAGCAGCCATTTCTTCGCCCATTCTTGTAGCCCACAGAGGTCCTTCTGCAGCTCTTCACAATCCGCTTGGTTCTTGATTTCCCGAAATAACTTAGCGTCATCGGCAAACATTTGTATGGAGTAGTGTACAACGTCTGGCATGTCATTTATGAAACAAATAACAGCGGGCCCAATACACTGCCCTGTGGTACCCCACTTGTGACAGGGCCCCAGGAGGCGATGCAGTCTCTGGGAGAGCCTCTGGGGGCGCTTGTACCCCTGACATGATCGCTGGATGCTGGATGCACCACCTTCTTGGGATCTCCACTCGGGACGCCACCGCCCATGGCAGAGCCCTTGGGGGCGTTGCTGCCCCTGGGAGGGCCCCTGCTTGCGCCGCCACACCTGAGAGGGCCCCGAGAATTGCAGCCGCTATTTTAGGGCCCCTGGGGGCAGTTGTTTTTGCACTATTTAAAACTCTGGGAAATATGATGTTAAATAAATACACTGCCCATTGCATTTCTAGTATCATCTACTGAACAATATAAAGAATAAATATCCAACAGGAAAACATAAGTTGGGGTGTTGTGCTGACTGACTGTACTGTTCTCCTATTGGCTGTAATTTGGTGGATTTACATTTTACTCCACCAATCACAGTTAAGTAAGGGAATGCTGGACGTATGCATTATGTACGACACCATGACCAAGGAAGCTATAGAGCTCCTGGGAGGGGGCGCACCTGGTAGGGCACCGGGTGGGTGCACATGGTATTGCGTCTGGGGGCTCCCCTGGTATGGTTTCTGGGGGCGCCACAGTCCCGAAGAGGGCCACTGGTGGAACCACCGCCCCTGGAGCACGTGACGGCTACACCGCCCCTGACATGGCTCCTGGTAGCACGGCCGTCCATGGGAGGCCTCTGGAAGATCCCTTGTGGCGCTAGCACCCCTTACAGAAACCCTGAAGGCGTTGCCACTTCTGGGTGGACCCCTGGAACACTCGGGCCCCCAGGAGGACCCCTGGGAGTGCTGCTATTCCTGAGAGAGCCCATAAGGGCGCCTCTGCCCCTGGCACGGCCCGAGGGAGCGCTACCACCCCTGGTAGTGCCCCTCGAGGTGGTGCCATCCTTCGGAGCGCCCCTGGGGGAAATCCTGTCCCTGGCAGAGTCCCTGGGGGCGCTGATGTTTCTAGGAGGGCCCCTGGGAGCGCCGCTGTCCCTGGGTGATTCCCTGGATGCGCGAGTTTAAATGTGAGAGCTCCTGGGTGCGCCAGCGCCTCTGGAAGAGACCCTAGGAGCGCCACTGTCCCTGGGAGACCATCTGGGAGTGCTGGAGTCCCTGGGAGGGCCCCTGGAGTTCCCACCGTCCCTATGAGGCCCCCCCTGGAATTGCCACTCTCCCTGGGAGAGACCCTGGGGGCGCCAGCGCCCCTTGATGCGCCACCGTCCTTGGGATGGCCACTCGGGGCGCCACTGCCCCTGGCTGGGTCCATGGGAGCGTTGCTGCCCCTGTGAGGGCCCCTGGGCTCTCTCAGGGACAGCCTTAAGAAAATTTTTGACCAACCATTGTAGGCAGCTATCAAACAGGGACGTACTACCGCCTGAGAAAATTTTGGAAGCATTATGTGTTGTCTAATGGTAGACCCTGCTGCCATATGGCATCACGAAAATTGTGACCAAGTCCCAGGTTGATGATCTGACTTTCTGCCTCATTTACACACAATTGCAGGGCCTCAATTGTTTCTCTTACTTTGACAACACAACATAAATATATTGTTTCTCACTATTGATTTTTTCATATGTTTATGGTTCTTTATTATTATCATTATTATTATTATTAGTGTTATTATTATTATTATTATTATTTTTTTTTAATTTTGTATTTTTATTATAAATTTTACTTAACACTAATTATTATTATTATTATTGCATTTTCACCCCCAGGGCCTGATATGGGCCAGTGACCTATGCCCAAGTGAGCTAATCCCCATAAAAAAAAAAAAGATGGGCATCTCCTGCACACACTCCGTGATTGATCAGTTCTCTTGTATGCTGCACTATCCTCTTCCATTCACTCCACCCAGTACAAGGATGCAGGAAGTAGTACCTCTATATTTTTGGTATAAGGTGCTATGCATTGCACCATAGTATCCAGGGCACCAGAATTAATACTCAGCACTCCTGGTAAATTTTGGTTCCTGCTGTACTGACCCAGTAACACCCATCAAACTACCTGATTAATGTCAGGCCAGCCACTGTAGGCAGAAAGTCTCCACTTTTACAGTAAATCCACTATCATAGACTTGGTTTGATTTACATACAGGGTTTTAATAACTTAAGGTAAAAAAATAAGGTTCAATGAAAGTCATTTGGTACAGTAGAAGACATTTATATTAATTCTCAAAATCACCCATGGTGTCCCTTCCTTCTAACCTTAAAACAACTGGATTTAAATAACAACAATTTCAAAAAATAAACTTTTGAATCATATAAAAGTGGTGTAGAAGTCACTGGACATGGACAAAAACTGTAGACAATGATAATGTCAATGGATGTAATACTCTAGTCATAACTTTCATATGTACATCTTCAAACGTAGAAGAATATTGGTACCCATTAATCTGCATATAATCTCTGCAAAATATACTAATTACAACTTACTAGTCATAGTTATAGACTAAAAATGTCTTACATGATGCTAAAATAGCATCTTAGTTCCTTCCTATCTGGAAATGTATAAATTTATAGAAATTGCAGCCTTCATACATGCTTTGAAAAAAATATTCCAAAATACTAATAAAAAATAAAAATAAATAAAATTCAATTTGTGATTGAACTCTACGAGTTGAAGAGTTCAGTCCATCATAGAAAATACTAAGGTAGGATTCAATAAACAACCTGTGTATGCAAGAGCAATGGATGCTTAAAGCTCCATTGCATTTTCAAGTCATACCTTCAGCCGAATCTTTCACTACCAGAGTTTAGGGGCTGAGGTTGAGGAGACACCAAGTAAACTTATCAAGCTACTGGACTATGACACACACCTTGAGGAAACAAAACACTGGTACCTCACAAAAAGAGCCAAATAGCTTTAGAAAATAAACAATAGGTTTTACGCTTATACACTGATCTCTCGATAATATTCAGTATAGAAGGAAAAACATATCACTACTGAACATCTCTGGCAGTCACATTCAACTGAGGACAGTGTACACAATGCTCTCAATGACAAAAGTTCAAAGTATACTACAAATACACAAGTGACCGTGGCAACAGGGAAACATTGAAGACAACCTTCACCAAAACACACAGTTAGGTAAACAGTTTGTTGTGTTGTGTAATGTTTAGTGACACACTACTCGGTGCATTTATAGAAAATGCAACTTAAAGTGTAGAGGTCTTTTATCACCCAAAAGCTTGCTTGATGTCCTTATACAATAATGTATATACTGACGTCAACCGCTACTGTCATTTCAAGTTGCTGATGTGTCACCCGATACAAAACGTTACCCTCAACTCCCACTGTCACCACTTGCTCCATACGTCAAGTACTGTACGTCTGCATTAATACCGTGCAGACCACAGCCCTCTTTACCGCTCCATTCCAAACTCGTGGGCATCGTCATCCGTAACGTCGCCGTATTGCCAGATGTTCAGGTGTTTCCTCTTGGCTTCTTCTTGGGCACTGCGGTAGTCACTCACCTGAAAGCATCGACAATTCTCATTAATTCGTGGACATCAAACAAGTTTCCTTTGTTTTCTGAAGTACAGTGGTCCCTCGGTTAACGAACGCCTCGGTTAACGAACTGCCTACCATAAGATTCTTAAATTCGGTTAACGAATTTCTTATGAACCGACCTTAACATGTTTTCGCTTGCACTGGCCGGGCAACCAGCTTTAGTATTAGTCCGCCAATACATTAATCGGTTCTAGGGCTTAAATTCCTTACCATTTTAGTAAATATCAAGAAGTTTATACTATTCAATAATTTTAAAAGTTTAATATTCAATTTTTTAGTCATTTTAACAATTATTGAACATAATTGAAGGTAAAGTGACTAGTTTAATGCGCAGCATCCAGCCTGTTAACACAGCAAACAGGCGTTAGTCTCTCTCTGTTTTCACTGGAGGTAACATCTTGCTTGAGACTCTTCAACTAAACGCTTTTTTTCTGTGTTTCCAAGCAAATTATTGGTCATTTTGAAATATATTTTACATATTGACAATATATAATGCAGTGCAGTGTTGATTTAAAGAAAATAATCTTGAAATACATCAAGAGAACTAAAATTTTATGGGTGAAATGGTGCCATGGGGTGACTTCTCTTCCACCCCAATGCCTTCTCTTCTTCCTTCTCCTCCACCCCCATTCTAATTCCCATCATCATCATCATCATCATCATCCAGGAGCCTTCTACATACACACCTCAAAGTAAATGAACTTTTCTACCATTTTTGTTGAATTTAGGCAATTTTCGGTGAGCTGGAACCAATTACCCAAAAACCCATTGAAACAATGGTTTCGGTTAACGAACAACCTGCTGGAACGGATTGTGTTCGTTAACCGAGGGACCACTGAAATAAGAACCTTGTCAGTTTGAGGTTCTATTTATTCTTCATCTTATAATAAAATTTTGTTATACAACTTGCCAACAAAACTAAATATAGTCTACTGACAGGCCTGGAGTAACATGGACGACCTAGGAGCCAAGAAATAGGAAAATTCAAGACTCTATACCTGTAATAACATTTTCATAAAATATACTTACAGGAAATGGACATTTTAACTTAAGTGATCTGGTGGCAATACGTACATACACTGCTATCGAAGACGAACAAATATTGCGCCATACAGATTTATATTACAGGTTTGTAGTGGAAATAATAAGTTATAAACTATATTAACACAGCTTTAAGGATATAATAATGTGTTTAAATATTTTAACACTATGTACAGTCTGTGTGTTGTTTGAGCCATCATCCTGTAAACAGCATCAGCTGCCACGCCGAGTCTAGCGGATAGTGGACAGTATTTCCAAAAATCTAGAAAATATCTGTCTGTTATTTAGAGTATCCCTTACTGACCAGTCCACTATTGAGAGGCTGTACTTTATTATTATTGTTAGTAGTAGAAGTAAAAAAATTTATTCTCCCATGAGGTTGACTGCTCTAAAAAGTTTAATAACAACAACAGACCCTAAATACAGTACTTACCAAGGACTGGAATCTCTTGTCTTTGCGTTCATCAAGCAGCAACAACCCATTCACGAGGAGTGTACGAGCCACGTCAGCTTTGGTGTCCGCTCGTTGAATGTTCACGAAATCTTGACCTTGATTACGGTATTCTCGGTTGACCAGTACCTCTTGCTCCATTGTTTCGCTCATAAGCAACGTCAGGGCATCTTCGATGTAATCGTCCTGGGCGATGAAACGACATTTAGAAAAGTTACTTCTAAATTCTCGAGACATTTATGAGTAATTCTTAACAAAACTCTTTAGCATCAACCAAGAATAATTTCCTTTACATTGTACTCTTTAAATGACCTTTCAACTTCTGCAGCGGCTATAAAAAAAAAATATTCAGCCCAACATAATGCCCTTTCATAATGCTTTTTCATATTCCATGCTTGAACACCATCTACAAGTACTGTATAAATAGCACCTGATCCACCTCTTATGCTTACTTCCATACACTGGCTTCTTCAACTGAAAATCTCAAATGGTGATAACTGAAGGACTATTATACTCTCCCTTCTATCATACTTCCCTTCTATATCTTATATTATTCTCTACATCCTATCTACACCAAATAATGCTCTCTGCCTACCTACACTAAATGCTCTCTGGCATGTCATTTGTGCATCCATAGTCCATTCTTCACACCCTTGTTCACTCAGCAATTCACCGGTACATTTCTATTTTTACCTAAAGACAGTTCTCTTCCCAATACACTTTTCAATCCACCAACATTATTACTTTCCCTCATCAGGAACTATTCTATTACTAACTTATCTTCTACTCTGTCTAAAACTCCCTCCTTCCTTCCTTCTATCTCCTTTTCTAAGCTAACATACTATATCCTCCTATCTCCCTTCTTTATATCCACCACTTTTGTTCACATTAAGAGTTATCTCCTATTAAACACACTACCATATTCATCCAGTTGCATTTGTAAGTTTTTTTTTTTAACTGAGGCATTGAGTGCCAGAGGGGTGATAAGACTACCTAGCTGCTCTCTTGTCCTCTGCCCAAGTGTTGGCCCTATAGTACCAGAATGTTAAAATATATCTACATTTCTCTGTCACCAAAGGGAGGGAGCACAGATAGGTTTACCAATCACAGCATCACCAGTCACACGACACGACCGCCCATGGACTGCTGCAACCTCCAGCTCAGCCAATCAGCAGCGAGAGGAGCCATTTTGTACTCCCGTCCCACAGCGACTACATTTTCTCACATTCCTCCCACTTTTTCTACCATATCAAACAACATACACAGTTTTTTAAGTAAACATGGCTACATTAAAGGATGTAGCAAGACGTACCACTTGAATCAGGGATCCTTAGAGCAGAGTTGAGTACAGTACTGCCAGAAAACACTTACATCTTTGCTGAGCTTCACCAAGGCCAAGTGTAATTCATGTGCATAAGCACCTGGGGAAGAGAAACTGGCAGGAAGTGAAGCACATTTGACTGCTTGGGTCACTTCTTTGTTGCCATAGTCGATATAGCGTACCGACACGTTGCTTCCGGTGACTTTCTCCACCTTGGCACGGTACCAGAGACCATCAACAAACTGAGCAGCACAAAGGTCACCTGATGATAAAACACAATGTAGAACCTTAAAAGTATCCATAAGGTGTACTGTACAGCCTACACAGGATTGAATGTTTGTGTATGATCCTGTACAAGTAGGTGTTCAGACCACTGTACTTACTGTATTGGTTTATAACTTCCAGACATAGTGATGAAGTAAATCTAAGAAGTGAGTGAGTGAGTGAGTGAGTGAGTGAGTGAGTGAGTGAGTGAGTGAGTGAGTGAGTGTGTGTGTGTGTGTGTGTGTGTACTCAGGGAGGTTTGCTTGCATCATTTTGCTGTGAAGAAAGAAAAAGTCAAGAAGAAAGAATAAGATTCAACTTAATATTCTCAAGACATAAAGCAGAGTACTGTACAATAAAGGATACACATTACAGCATGCCCTTCAAATTTGTGGATTTTTAATTTGCGGACCTCAATTATTCGCAGATGACACCCTGGATGTACCCAAGAATGTCTAAGGGTAGTTTTAAAGTTGCCGGCATTTTTGCAGCCAGGACAGGGAGCCATTTGTTCTACAGACAGTAATTTCCTTTACCTGAATTGTATATACAGTATATCTGTGTGTGTAGATACACACACACAGATATGTATATATACAATACTGTACAGGTAAATAAAATAATTGTCCTAAGGGCAAACACAAATGGAATATACATTTCTTTGAACACAAGTAAAAATTTCCCCCCCCTCCGGTTCGCAAATGTTATTAACGGATTTGGCATTTCACGGCCATTTTGAGAACCCAACCCCCGTGAATTTGAAGGGCCAACTGTATTTCATAAATAAGCCATTTTGTACACAGGCTGTTTTGCAGAAGTATGAAGGTAAATTAAATTAGCACAAGAACAATTACTTAAACCAAATAAAATAAAAATTGACCAGACATTCCAACTTACCCAATTCCAATTCAACCCAACAAGACATTGGCATCAGTTCACAAAAATTTAATCTAATCTTGAGTAAGAAACTAATGTAATTCCTGTGTATGAAATAACCTGAAACACAATGACCATCACCCTTTTAGCAGTTGTATTAAACAATTATCTTCATAGACCGTGTTTGATCAAGATAAATGTAAAATTAATTTCAACCCAACCCGAGGGATTACTCAACAATACCTTGCAAGGGTTTCACACAGGATTATAAATGTGAGATAAGTATCCTATGTATTTCCTTTAATGTTCAATTGTTTTAGATACTGTACTGCCGATAAGGGGCCAAATGCCTTCATTTTTTCTGTGCAGCGTTAAATCATATATTTTGCTTACATACAGGTAGTGTTGGCGAGAAAAAACAACAAGTAATTAGTTGGAAGTCACAAGGTTTACTGTGCCTCACACCAGAGTGGTCAGTACACAGGTCAATCAATCTAGATAAGGGATACTGTACTGTACCAATATTTTACCTCTCTTGGGATTGTAGGCTCCACCTAGTGGCGGCTTGTTGGCAAATTCTGACCTTAGGTTCTCCATCATCTGTTCAAGAGCAGGTCCATCTGAGCAGTACTGACCAAACAAAGTTCCTTCTCGGCTTACTACAGTGATCAACATGGGTTTGTAGTCCACTTTGCGTTCACTTACGGTGTCCTCAACCTGAACAAAAATAAAGTCTCCAGTTAGCATGATTTTACCTTGCGATTACTCTACAAAGAAACTAATAATAAATCACAGTTCAGAGAAAATACTTGGATTCTTCAGCTGTCCAAATATATACTGACTCTACTAGATCATTTTACCTGATACCTACATGATTTTCTTCAGACAATGTTCATTAATCTCAAGCCCTTTTTTCTTATAAACAGTTTAAAATATTTCTGCCATTCTCAGAAGTAATACTTAATTACTTACTGTAGAATAGCTTCAGTTATTCCTATGTGAAAATTACTATTAATAATCTTTCCTCCTCTTCCATACTGTGTGAAGTAAGTGAAAGATTACAAACCCCATGAACGCACTGAGAAAAAGATTACACAAATTCAAGTGCTCCAGCAACCCGATTTCCTCTCATCCCATCTTCATACGCACACAGTGAAACCTCTATTTAATGGACTATATGGAGAGGAGAGTCCTTTATATTGAAGGTCTGTTAGATGTAAATCCTCCATCGAATGAACTATATACAGACAAAAATCCATTATATTGAGGGTCTATTAGATGCGACCCCCCCCCCCACCATGTCATGGATAATATGGAGCGAGAATTACATTATATAAAGGTCTCATTGACTACACAGTACCGAGAGAAGGCGAATGTTTCTTCACTAATCCACATCAATAATTCACTGTGTATTTTATCAAGTCACTACATTCACTCATTTAATCACAAAAAGAGCAAAATTACCTTCTCGTCTTTTTCTTCCTCGACGAAATTTGCCCAAACGTTGAGTTTCTTCTCTTTAGCGGACTCTTGTGCCGTGGTGAGCAAGTGGTAGAACTTGGATGACTCGGCGGTGAAGTGAACGGTACTCAGACCCTCTTCGACCAGGAGTACGGAGAGGTTCTTGTTGTCTACGTGCAGCCACCCAATGAAGTTTCCTCCTTTGTCCATAGAGTCGACCTACAGGCAACACAACAAGGGTTAAAAAAAATATAAAAAAATAAAATAAAAATAAAAATATAAATAAATAATAATAATAAAAAAAGGCCTGTAATTTTGTTTTATACCACAGAAAGCAGAAAATCTTCACCAACTCGATGAAGTATACTCGCAAATTGACACAGGCAATTCAGTATTTTTTTGTACATGCATTTGTCATCACAGTTCGTGCCAGTTATGACACCGTGCTTCCTTAACAATCGAGATAAATAACATGAAATACACACATAACATCATAGGCTATACACTTGAAACATGTGCGTACATTGTCTACTTAATGGCTGATAGTCAACTTCCCGCCACCATCCAATCTTGTATAATAATCCTGTAATAGTTGTAAAGACACGTAAAATAATGATACAAGATGCGATACTGAATGATTGATTATACTGTACTGTAAGTGATGCAGTGTTCTTGTCACAGCCACTCACACTCCTGTTGCCTCACCTCTCAGTACATTATTGTAAAAGTACTGTACAGGAGTTAATTTATTTCTCTTACAGTATTACGTTAAGTCATGTACCGAGGGTGGTTGTTTATTACTTACTGTAGTCTATTATAATTCTTATTTATTTATTAAAATTATGTTTATATTGTATAAGAATTATCATATGTTAATGTTTTTATTTAGACATTTATTGAAGGTAAAGCAGTCAAGTGTAGTTTTGTGGAGACCATAAATGGTCTTTATGAAGTGTACCTTGAACCAAGACCACTTTGTACAGCAAGAGACACCTGTGTACAATACAGTACAGTAAACTGCTCTACTATCTTTATATGTGTTTAATATAATTTAGCATTACATTTTTCTTTAAATTGTTAAACTTTATAAGTACGTGTTCTCGTGTTTTTTTCCCCTTGTGAAGGAATTTTAATATTTTGTGCTAATTTTGGTTGAGCCAGAGGCCAGACGATAACAAATTAACAATGGTTCAGTGTACTCTTATTGTCGTCCATGTTTCTCATGAAGCCTTCACTTTAATTTCCACTATTCTAAAACTGGACTCTTAGTATATCCAAGTAATATGGCAAACATTAAGATTTTGTAATGAATTTAATAATACACCACTGGTGCTGATGTCTTTCCTCATAAAATTCTGACATCTTTTTCAAACTGCAGGCAGAGTACTGGAAATATCAGTCACCCATGTCAAGGTTACTCCAGACTCTAGCAATTCACTACATTTTATTGAGGCTTCTTACTGGTAGTGATCCAGACCCTGATGAACCTACACACAGAGGGAGTCAGGAGGTGTCTGATGATCCAGAGTGTGAGAGAAATATATAAACACTTGCCTCAATCTCAACTTCTCGCTGCAGCACCAGACTCTTGGTCAGAGCCAGCGCCTCCTCCCCATATGGTTCACCAGGAAGTGTGCCTCCAACTCCCCCAGGAGCTGGTCTTGTGGCTCGTGGGCAGCTGATGCCTCCCAGAAGGAATGTGATGAGGCAAGTCTCACGGGGGATGAACAGACGCACCCGGGATCCCGATGCCACGAACTCCACTACTCCTTCGGTACGTCCGGCACGCTGAAGGAACGGTAGGAAACCCTTTGCTTTCCCTACGTCCTGAAAATGGAAAAAATCAATTCTGGTTAACAATAATTTCAAGTATCTTTTGCTTGTATTTCACCGAGAAACAAGTAAAAGATTAAATAACTAAACAAACAAAAATTCCACAAATTCCTTTTTTCCTTTACTAACTCCAACACTCACACATGTATCTCTAACAAATTATATTTAAAATGACTTATTAATTAGTTCATCATTCTAGAACTAGTGACAACTACTGGTGATACTAATTCTCTCATCATTTTTATCAACTGGGAAGATATATTAAGACAAACAAGAGCCACACCACATCACTGACCCTTCAAAGGTAATCTTATCAGATCTTAATTTGAACCTTCCTTCCTATCAAGCAGACACACAGACCAATAATCTCTCTACTTCTTTACATCAGTACAAAATGAATATCAATATGAAGGCAAAGTGTAAACGTGTGCACAGCCTAGAGGCAACATTAACACTAAGACACTCTCACCTCCACATTTCATTCCACTTTAAGACAAACACCAACTTACACTAGAGATGTCTGCAACTCTGTGAATAGGGGTTTCCTTTTTGTTGTGGATGCCCTTCAAAGATTTGATTGCCTTAGCTTCTGCAGATAGCAAGTCGTCGTAACAGCTGGCACGCTGGTCATCGTCTTGTCTGTATCTGATGACTGTTGCATAGCCTTTGCTCACCATTGCCTCTCCCACATTACTGGATGGGTGAGAATAACATAGGGTCTTGTGAAATGTTTTCTTTCAAGGGTCACAAGGGGAAGGCAATACTGTTTTGGGAAATGTGATGGTCAAGTTGATGTAAATAGTGTGTGTGTGTGTCAGGAAAAAGCTTCAGCCAAGTTCCAGACAGAGAGACAGACAGACACAGACATCTCCTGAATGCCCTCAACAGTCTGCAAAGCATTAGGTTGCATATAAAATTTTGAGAGAGAAGAGAAGATTAAAAATACAGCACAAGCTGGATCTTCCACTATTGTTGAATTTGTCCAAGCTCTCATAGTGACCAACATCCCAGTTCTTGAGTCTTGGTGCCTCTTTTCTATCACTAGTACCATACAACATGATACACAGTCTTATTAATCACACCTCGCACATCTAAGAATCCAAACAACTTTCCCCAAAATAATGTCAAGTTGTGCCTCAAATCTATCAGTCAAGCCAGATTCCGAGCTTGGTCGTCATTCATGGTGATCTATACCTCGCCGGTAAATAAATATAGAGAGAAAATGATAATTATCACGTTCATCTTGCAGATTCCTGATTATTAGCAGACCAGAATTAATTTTGATAGGTAAGGCCTGTTCCCTATTTACTATGAATTTTATACACATGTGGCAAAGACAGTAGGTACATCTTGAGAGCCTATTAGCAGGAGAATGGATACAGGACACTGCAGATGAAGCCTTTGGTACACAAGGTGACAGTGTGGTAGGAATAGCACTGTTATCACATTTCACTTTCCCAATTGTATGGGGTGTGGCCGACTCAATGGCAAACCTCCAAGACACCTAGTGGCAATATGAGTCAGTATATGAGCTAAATTCATTCAGCCACTGTGTACTCGAGGAAAGAGTTAATTTGCCTGACCCAATATCGTACAAAAACATCCCCAAAAGGTTTAGTTATGACCAGTTTGTTGACCAAGTACGTGCAACATTAAGTGATTTGTTAGAGCAGCTAAAAGAGGAAGCTATTGAATTTGTGTACTTTTATTCTGTAGCAAACTGATGAAGCTATTGGTGTTCATACCGTACAGTATGTGGTGTAACAGACGACTTTATTATTCACGAAGAACTTTTTGGTCACAGTTCACTGAAGGAACACACAAAAGGGAGCGACTTACTAAATGGACTTCTGGAGCACATTATCACTTAGAGTTAAATATGGATAACTTAGTTGACATAACTGATGGGACTCCTATAATGATGGGTACACATAATGATATAGTCCCACTGTTGATCAAACACCTTGGTTAACACAAAAATGAACTGATAGTTTCACTGCTTTATACATCACCAAAATGTGTAAAGAAAGACGAACTTTGAAAATGTGATGAAATTTGTAGTTTCATCTGTCAATTTTATAAAACACGAGCCTTGAATCATCACCAATTTTATAAAACACGAGCTTCGAATCATCACCAGTTGAAGCGGGTTCTGGAAGATATTAAAGTAGAGTTCATCACAAGTCAGGGGGTTAAGTCAGGGAAATACACTCCAGTGATTAACCTCTTGGATGAAAACTATGCAAGAATGATTGAGATATTCCAGAAGTGTTTGATAAGCAATTTGGAGGCTTTGAGAAAGAGACGAAACACTTCCAACTATAGTATTCAGAAATTCCTTCTCTGTCAAACTTGAGGCCCAGTTAGATTGATCTACAGAACTGTGACAGATTTCATGCAATGTTTATGGAAGGAACTTATTCAATTTCTACAAGTGTTTGCCTCAAGATCAGTACTGTAACTTTATTTGTAACAGTAGGTTGTTATTTATGCTAGTTTATTTGGCTCCATTTACTTCTGTGAGCAACCATTCAGTTTATTAAATCTCAACAAGTCAAAGATTCAAGGTAGGCTAACTGGCGAGAATCTACACTCCATTTTACAGCTCACAAACACTGAGTTAGATCCCAACATGAAGCTCATCTCACATCACATTAAACTCAAGAAAAAGTTTCCAAGTGGTAAGTACATTATTCAATTATATATTCTCACTGAAATAACTTAGTTGTGAGAAAACATATACTGCCAACAGTCTATTCTTGGTTATCAAAAGTATTTATAATACATTTGAATGGAAATTTTAAACATACGACTTAATTATCTAATTACAAGGACCTGCCCAAATCTTGCGGCCCAAACTTGTGAGTCAGTCTTTTGATGTGACCCCCAAATCAAAAAGGGTTGTGCATCCTTGTCTAGTGTCAGTAGTGGGAGACAAGAAGAGACTTCATCACAGTTATGATACTCACACGTCTCCAATTCTCACAGTACAACATGTCTTTTCTGGGAAGTTATTTTGAGCAGGTTGGATGTAGTCAACTGTGGCCTGAACTTTCTGCCCGATGAGCTTCTTGCGCAGGAACTCTCGTGCCTCAAACAACCAAGGAATGTCGTAGAGAGGACGGAAGTTCTTTCCTGGAGGTCGAGGAGTTTCTGAATCTGGAAGTCTAGAAAATTAAGAAAATAATTATCTCCACAAACAGGGACAGACTGTAAACAATATTTTCATAGCCTACATCAGGAAATAGTGAAACATGAACACTTGTGATACTTCATGAAAGTGTTAAATATCTAACCATATTCTGCACTTAAGGAACACAGCCCACCACACTTACCTGGGAGGCCTCACACTAGACAAGAATATCTTCTTATTTGTCCCATCTTGACGCTTCACCACAAGAGCATCACCGTTGACAACTTCCACTACTTTACCGGTGAATTCCTTGTCTTTGTCAGCTATCTGTATGAAGTAAAATAATTGTCTTCATCAGCCTGTGCTAATACAAACTGTCTCATCCAACTTAAAAGCTACAGCATGTATAAATGTCCTCCTCTACAGTTCAATTCTTTCCTGCACAGCATATCCACTATAGAATCAGTTGCCTTTCTCCTTAATACAGAAATATTAAGCAACAAAGTCCTTGTATTGATGACCCATGAACCTGTTGACTGTGGTCAATGAGGAATATCTCTAGTGATAATAATTTCTGATTTATTTGTTGCTGATGAAGTCATAAATCTCAGTGTATTTGTTCTTTTTATTACTCACCAATTTCTTTGTATCCTGAAAACTTGTCACTGGGTTAGTATCACTTTAAAACAGACCAACTTATACCTTATACCACTGGAAATAGATCACGGTATTAGGCTCTTGAAAACCCCATTCGCCTGTGATCATTCTTCATCTAACTTAAACTTGTTAAGGGAAATAATGGGTCAAGCTCTGCCCCTCACACAACTTGGGTCTTATTCAACTGTTCTACACTTATTTTTATTAAACAACAATACTTCTCAGACATGGTGGAGTACACATAAGAATATCGTACAAAATTGTGTTGAAAAAATATGAAAACGGACGAAGGATTTTGACAATCCTACCGAGACAACAGGAGCCACAGCGTTCATTCTGGGATTCATCGATCACCCCAGGTAGAGATAATCTTTTGAGTGTATATAAAATAACACGTGGTAAGGAATGAATTTGAAATGTGTACCGTACAATATGTCTATTCTCCTCACAGCCAATTGGCGACTAACCATCACCCTCTTGCATCAGTTTGCCAGTATAGTACATAAAAATATCTCCTGTACACAATAAGCATTTAATAATTTTAAGACTATGGAAACTAATTGTATGAGGTAACGAGTTATTTATTGAGAAGCGTATGCATTGTATTCTCCTCCACATAACCAATCAACTGTTGTGGACTCGGTTTAATTCCTTCGGTACAGTGACGCCACTTTTAATTTTTTATTTGGTTAACGCCGATGATTTTATTCAGATCAGAGGGGACCCCGTACACAAGTGGTTAACAAGGTCTAATTTCACCTTCAGAATTTTATATTGTTTAATACAGTTACGGCAAAACCCCCGTTAGATGGGAGGCTTCACATCTAACGGACCGTCAACATAGAGATTTTCCTCTCCACTTAGTCCATTAAATACCATTAAATAGAGGTTACAACGTATTGACCATATTGTGGTGTATGTCTAGGTTAGGAGTGAGTGTCACCAGCCCCCAGTTTGGCGATTGTCACACCACACCGTATATTATACCACATACTGTACAGTATATATGTACAGTATATCCAGGTTAATCCAGACTAATTGGGGGGAAATCCACTTCACTTCCTTGAGATAAATGTATAGTATATATCAGGTGCCTCAAAGAGAGCTCAGGTTCTCAACGTTCTTTTAACCCTTATGCCCCGGGTGACGTTCTTTTAACCCTTATGCCTAGGGTGACGTTCTTTTAACCCTTATGCCCCGGGTGACGTTCTTTTAACCCTTATGCCCCGGGTGACGTTCTTTTAACCCTTATGCCCCGGGTGACGTTCTTTTAACCCTTATGCGGGTGACGTTCTTTTAACCCTTAGGCCCCGGGTGACGTTCTTTTAACCCTTAGGCCCCGGGTGACGTTCTTTTAACCCTTAGGCCCCGGGTGACGTTCTTTTAACCCTTAGGCCCCGGGTGACGTTCTTTTAACCCTTAGACCCGGGTGACGTTCTCTTAACCCTTATGCCCCGGGTGACGTTCTTTTAACCCTTAGGCCCCGGGTGACGTTCTTTTAACCCTTAGACCCGGGTGACGTTCCAGAACGTCCGCCTATTTTCCTGACAATTTTTTTTATTATAATTATTGGAAAAAATTATTTTTTCTAGATTTACCTGAGGAGGAGGAAGAGGGGGGGGGGTTACTGCCAGCAGCACCCTAACCCAGGGCTTAAGGGTTAATATATTTATTTCAGTCTAAGCTCATACATAATCCCCCTCAACACAGTTAACACTCAGCTTAACAGAAAAACTTAAGGCTCTTTTCAGAGGTGAAGATATTCCCACTAAATATTTGTCCTCAAAGTTCCCTTCACTGCCATACATGTACGGTCTTATTTTAAGACATACAAGACCCATTATTACTACAGCTGGGTCAATCACTTTTAAGCTGTCTAAATAGTTGATGTCTTTACTAAACCCTTTAGTTGGCAACATATCAAACTCTAACATTGACAATAATGTGGATTTAGTTGATAAACATATTAACTTACACATTAATTAAGATTTATACTGGTCAGTTTTGATGTAATATCTCACTTCACAAAGGTCCCAGTAGTTGATTTGCTCGAGTTCCTCACAGATTCCCTGGATAATATTTCCTTAACCATCTCAAACAATGTTTTTTATTGAACTCATCAAACCGTGTCTTGAAGATTGTCAATTTTAATTCAATGGAGAATATTATGCTCAAAAAGTTGATATGACAACGGGTAATCCACTTTCACTTATGTTGAACAACTTACATTTGGAATTTTTGAGGATATTAATTAGTAATATTTTACCATCTTCTGCAGCTTGATTTAGATATGTAGATGATGTGATATGTCTTTGGCCATGTAGAGAGAATTTGTAAGTTTCTTTACCACTACTTAACTTAGCCCCCTCCATCAAATTCACTGTGGAATTAGAAAGCAACTGTAAATTACCATTCCTAGACTGTCTGATCCAGTGTAGGTAACACCTTTAAGTTCAGTATTTATAGGAAACCTACTAATGTGTGTTGATACATGCATTATTATTCTGCCCACCATTTTAGTCAAAGAGTCAGTATATTATTGGATTAACTTAAAGTACCCTAGATCTTTTACAGACAAATGTCTTAATATGGCTAAGAAATTCTTTTATAGAACTGATCCTAAACCTTCTCATGACAATAAGAATCTCTTAGTATTACCATTTAACAAAAATTACTCTCAAATTCCTCTACAACTGAAAACCTGGAATGTAAATGTAACATTTAATAATCCCTTACAGATTATAAAACATGTTAATGAAGAATTATCCAAGAAATGGAGATGGCTGTATTTACAAGGTTCCTGGCAAGGAATGTAATATGTTCTACTGAGGTCATATGGGTCAAGATCTTATAACTAGAAAAACAGCATAAATATAGTGTCAGCACAGGCCAGGAATCCAATGCTCTGTTCATTCATATGAGAGATAATAAGCATTGCATTGACTGGGCTAATGCCTCCTCAATTTTACCTTGTAACTCAACTGTCAATTGGAACATTATAGAATTTAATCTCATTAAACATACCAAATTTATTTGCATGAATTTGAGTAATGGCCTGTACAAACTGGATACTTTAGTCGTAAGATTTGTAACCAATTAAAAGGTTAGGGTAACTACTTAGTGACCTGAATATGGTGGAAGCAAGACCCACATTCATCAAAGTGTGTGCCAGTGAAAGCAAAACTAATGTAACGGATGGATGACCTTAGAGAAGACCATTAAACCTAACCCAGGAAACTATCACAGCCTCAGTTAGGTCTTACTCTCAAAGGGCCCCAATCTGACGAGACTGTATCTGAACTTATCTTGTAAAGTCTTCATAAAAACTAACATTTATCAAGTCACTACTGAAGACATCAATCGACTTACCGACAGGCTTGTGGGTTTGTAGTCTGTCCAAAGTCGGAGCTGCTTCTCTTTTGCTTGTTTTTCCGAGCTTCGCAGCTTTTCTGGTCCTCCCGTGACCGTCGCTATGGACCAATCGACGCACCTCGCAAAACCCTCACGTAATAAAGCCTCGGCAATATTTCCATTCTGCGAAGACAGCAGAATTTAATAGACATACCCTTAGTCATTAACTCTCCTTACTAGCTAAATTTAATATGTATAGTAAAGCCCTTACTTACTAGCTAAATTTAAAGTGTATAATATAGTGCCCTTACCACTAGCAAACTTTAAAGTGCATAATATAGTGCCTTTACTTACTAGCTAAATTTAATATAATATAACTCTTACTTACTAGCTAAACTTAACATGTACAAAACTAGCCAGATAAGCACAATACACATTTGTTAATCTTACCGGATGAATGATGGAGCCGACAAAGTTGTTATTGTTGAAAGTTTCCAAAATAACCTGGATATCTCGCTGCAACAATCTAGACTCCGTGTAGAAGCGCGCCTCGTCAGCAAATGGCTCACTGTTTGACTTGTCTGGCTTACCCTCGGAGTCCAGCTTGTTCATGGGACACTGGAATTGTACAAAATGCAAGATTAAATGGATTTAATTATTTTCTATATTGTATGATGAACAATTGCTTCTAAAAAAAATAAAGACACGGACGGAGATTTTTGCACCCCACGAGTATTGGCCAAGAATACAGTATAGCCACTCGGTCAGCACAAGACAGCTTCATATGACCTACCGTATATCATGCAACCAAGATATACATGTGTGTACCTCTGGGTGGATTTCTGGGCGACCATGTGGTGCAGAGGACAAATAAATAGCTGGTTATTTGTTACCCTTGATAATAAATTCAAATGACTACTGGTACAACTATTATCTTGCTCATAAGAAGATGTAGAACAAAATATACTTCAACAATAACAGCTGGCCTCTGTTCCAACATTGCCGCCGCGCTGTTACCAAGTCGCCTCACTCCCTCCTCAGGATTTAAGTCCACTTGAGGGTTCCTTCACAATTTATTACACTTGATATACAGTTTAATGGATTATTTCAATGCTGTATACACACAGTTTAGTTTAAGAGCTGCACATGGTCCGGCCTGATGTTGTATTTCCAAGGCTATAAATGGCTAGTTACCCTAATTTTCACACTATAACTGCATGGCCGCGCTCCCTCCCAATGTGATACACACGGCCCAGCAGCCACATGTCTGTCAGTCAGCCGGGTGACTGCCCCAACTATTTTCCGCATATAAAATATGTGTTTTTGTATTTTATATGTTATGTTATGTTTATCATAGCAATATATATGGCAGCTAATCCCCATTGTGTGTGGTATTCAAACTTATGGTTCTTGCTGTTTTGGAGGAATTTTTATTTACATTATTACCACCAATTCATTTTGGTGCCAATTCGTTGACTGCTGGTAACTTAAGACTCCAGATAACCGGGGTTCTACTCTACTGTATATAAGTTTGGCCTACACCGTATAATGGTCAATGTTAAAGTAATATGAACACCGCTAAACCAATCGCATTTTCATGACAAACCAAATCAGATCGAGTAATGGCAGTCCCGTTTATGGTACCTTTCAAACACTGGTCACCCCACATACTTCCTATTACAGTATAAATAAAACTAAACTTGACTGAATCTGCCCTGTTTTAACATGTCCTCAACCAGGCCGCTGGCTATATTCCAACTTTAATTATACAGAACTGGCAAATAAGTTTCCCGTTTATGAATACAGTACAGCAGTTAAAATAGGTGTAAGTGTAGAGCAGTGTAACAGTTGAGTCCCCCCTCTTAAACATTTATAACAGTACAATGAAGGGAGTGTTGTCTCAGTCACTAATAGTACAATGAAGAGAGTGTTGTCTCAGTCAGTAACAGTACAATGAAGAGTGTTGTCTCAGTCAGTAACAGTACAATGAAGAGTGTTGTCTCAGTCAGTAACATTAAAAAATTGAGAATTTACATACTGTATTAGGTACACCATACACTTACCCTAATCCCTGATATCATGAGGGTGATGTAGTGGAAATCTGGGAGGAGGAAGCAACGAATTGTGGAACCATCACGGACGTGCTCAACGATGGCATCAATAGGCTTTCCTCTGGCCTTGTCCACAAACGAACGCATGTTTTCACACGTCCACTTCACATTGCGGACGTGTTTTGCATCACTGCCTGCCCATTTACCCTGAGAAATAAAGAAATTGTTAAATATATGTATCCCCCTTGCTGACTTTTCTTCCTTTTCACCGCTGCAAAATGGTGCTTTCTGCTACGGCTCTTACCTACCACAACAAGGTCTAACTATCTACCTGGCTTACTCCCATTACTCCACACACCTTCCCTAGCAGTACTCATCACCAGCCTGTAAGTTAACCCTTCATGTAATTTTCTCCAGAGTACAGAAAACTGCCATCTCACCTTAAGTTCAATCAGTTTACAGTTATATAAAATAAAAAAGATAACTGTATATACGTTCCCAAAATGGCTGCTGACAATTTCTGAAGGTTAAGCGAGCAATCTTTTCACCACGTATGTAATTTACTGTTACACATTTTGACTACTCCGGCACAAATACTTTTAGAAGACTTGATGGGAATCCCCCGTGCATCTAGTGTTATTTGTATCACATTACAAAGCTTTAAGGAGCACGGCGGTTGACTGGTTACAGCTCTCGCCTCCTGTTCCATGGGTCAGTTGTTCAATTCCCAGGCCCTCCCAGTTCACCTAGCTGTAAATAAGCAATGAACCTAAGTTTACAATTTGGGGAAGCAAAGGCGGTAGAGTGCATTACCATCTACGCTACCTCCTTGTTTCCTGTATTGACAATGTCCCGAACATTCCTATGGGACCCACTCTCACAGTACTTTCGAGGAATTGTTAAAGATGGTGATGGAAATTGTGAAGACATCATTTCTTATCAGGTTCATGACAGCAGCCCTCTGGCCCTCTTGGCTGAAGGCAAATACATCCATTAAGTTACCTTGCTTTGGGTCCTGGCAGCCTCTTCAAGATCCACAAGCCGAGACTCCCCTCTGATGCTTTCTCGTCTCACAGAAACGAGACCGTCAGCAACCATAGTCTCTGTTACGTTCTCCCCAGTTGCTACATCTGTAAAGAAACACAACTTTTCAATGCAATGAAATTACAAAAAGTAACCCTTAAGAATATGACAATATATGACAAATAAAACAGAAAATACACATTACAGCCGACACTACACTTAAGAGGTTTACACACTGTTACGCATGAACACTTCAACACCAGCCTCTTAAAGTCTACCATGTCTACATACAGAGATAAATAAATCAATCAAGTACCTGTAATTAGCCATGACACAATACCAACCTTTTCCCAGGTAAATAGCACCATACTCTCTTCCAGTGGGCGTCTTGGTCTCAACAGTAAAAAGAACCTCCTTGCCAATAACCTTCTTCCGTAAATGCTCTCTGCTCTCCCAGCCATAGGGTTCGTCTACTGTCTCGGGGGCACTGCATGGAGAGAGAATCATTTGATGCATACTGTACAAACTTTGGAATAAAAACGGGTAAAATTTGTGTCAAGAAAATAATTAACACAATTGTGGGAACACCAAGACTGTACAGTAAATATGAGAGCACACTGGCATGTTATCCCTACATTTCTCTTCACAATAGGTTCACATAACAGCTGTCGGTGTACCATACTCTTCCTGCCCATTGCTGTCATGTTTCTTGGTTCTACCACCCGAGGTCTCACAGCTATGTCAGTCGGCAGCTACAACACAATGTGCGTGTAGTTAAAACCATGTGCAGCAAACAAAAACCACAAATACTGTATTGGTGTTCTTATAAATGATGGGACAGTTGAAACTGCCAACAGAGATAATAAACAAAATAATTTACTTGACCATGAAATGCCCGAGAAGGGTAGAAATTCACCAGAATCTGATAACATTGCTCCTGCAGTAGAATGTTCAGTTTTGGAAGAGGAGATTCACAATACCCACTAATAAGGAAGTCCGTCACACAGTACGGAAATTCAGCCTCCAAATCTTGACAGTGATGGCGATGCACAACTTGAGGATCACTGGTAATCAGCCGAGATTATCCAAGAGAAGGGCTACAAGCAGGAGCAGGTTTTTAAAGCTGACGGAATTGGCTTATGGCTGAAGAAGAAGCCCTACCGCCACAAGAAAGCCTGAATGATGGCAGTGGTGTCCACCAACTGGTTTCACAACTGTTTTATGAGGGAGGTCAAGGATTGCCTGCAGGAGAAAGGCCTGGAGTTTAAGGTCCTTCTCGTGATCGACAACTGCCCTGGCCACCCCGAGGCCCTCGAGGTTGACAACAAAAATGTCAAGGTGATCTTTCTGCTTAAGAACTCAACCACTCAACCATGAAGTCATCGCTGTTTTTAAGGCCAAGTACGTGACCCACACCTTCAGCAGGATGCGGCAGGCCTTGGACGACGACACACGGGATGGTGCCGAGTCGGTGCAGAAAATGTGGAAAAGGTTATCCATTGCAGACTGCATCTCTATCAAGCAGTGCCATGATGACCTGACAACCCTGTGTTAACTCCTGCTGGAGGGCCTTGTGGCCAGAGGTGGTGAACGACTTTGCCGACTTCCCCACAGTCGACCAGGATGTGCAGTACATCGTCCAGCTTGCCTGTCAAGTGGGAGGCGAGGGGTTTGATGATCTTCAGGAGGAAGAGGAGCTCTTGGGTCATGCTGGGGAAGAGCTGGCCGAGGTTATTGAGGAGTAGTGTTGTGAGGTGAAGTAGAGGAGGTGCCCACCTTAACCGTCACAGGTGCTTGCTGGCTAGTAAGGCACTTGTTGACATGTTTTAGAGACAAATCCCTCTATCAAGAGATCAGTCAACTTCAAGAGAGAGATGGAGAAGCTCCTGCTTCCTTACAGGAAAATAATGAAGGAACCAAAGTGCCAGGTTGACCTGCCTCCAATCCCCATGTTCTTCTTGCCATCGTCCACTCCAAGCCCTACACCTACAAGAGAGCCTCAGCCTCCTGTTCACGCTCCTCCTCCAAATATTAATTAATTCGCTCTAGTAATAATAATGTTTATTGTGTTATCGTAGGTAAATGCATGATTTATATATTTTGTTCATTACTGGGCCCATCACCATTTTCAAATTAGACAACAAGATATGTATTTGTCCCATACGTACACCTGGTAACAGGAGCAGTAAGGGGAGTGAGTGACCCCCAGTTGAGCGTCGTCTGCTCTTGTAACTCCCCTCCCTCTCTCCCTCCCTCCCTGCCATATTTCACTGGGTTTACTGTTATTATTTGTGTTTACTGATATAATAGTGCTTAATAGTGATTAATAATGGATTCATAGCCAGGTTAGACTCATCACTGTAACCACCAGGCTACTGGGCCAAGCTATGAGGTGTTTTTTTTTGTGTTTTTCATTTATTTTTACTTAGTTACATACACACACCATCCTACATACATACTATGGAAAAAGTAAAAGAAATAACTGTCCTAAGGGTAAACACACAAAGGGAATATACATTTCTTTGCACACGAGTTAGCTGGCTCAGTGAGGGAGGGGCGGGGGGCGAGGTGTGTAGAGGGGAGGGGGGCGAGGTGTGTAGAGGGGAGGAGCGTTGTTAGACAATTGGCGGAGGTGGCATCCTTGCTGGTCTCATTACTATGGTGAACCAGGGAGTGTATCCAATTGGTGACCGAGTTAAACTTTTATTTGGCTTTTATTTACTGATTTGACAATACAGTATTTTTTTGTTGTAACATTTATTGGTATTATTTTTATTTATTCCTCACATTTACTGGTACTGTATAGAAAAATATGGCTACAGGAGGAAATTGTTATCCTAAATACTCCCAGGTAAAATGGAGGGTGTGTCTTATATGCCCTAAAATACAGTACTGTATTTTGGGTGTTTTCTATATCATTACTTATTGTTTTTTATACATTTAGTACATTCACCGGAAGATACAAACGACTTTTTCACACACAGAGGTTTGAAGTCCACGTGCTATATGGACTGTTGAGATATACTGCATATATAAAACCAATGACCATGTATATAATTTGATTTAATTTGGCCGCCTCTCATCTTCATTTGCTCTCCTGGCCGTCAAACGCTGCGATCATTACAGCCGTAGATTTATTAGCTTCATCATTTCCCTTTTTTGTTTTTCTTGTGCACTTTCCACACTAGATCAAGTTCACACAAATATTATTCTTTTTCATCTTGTTCTTGTTGTTCCTTGTTATTCTTTGTTTCTTGTTCTTCTGGTTGTTTCTTCTTTTCTTGTTCCTTAACTACAAGAAGAGCCTCCTTAGGTACCCTACGCTGCTCCCTCCACTTGGGACACTCCCGGTCGGAGGAGTGAGGGCCACAACAAGCTGCACATTTCTTCTGTTTCGTCGTACAGATGGTGTGCTCGTGCCCGGTGTTCCCGCAGACGCCCGAGCCCGGCACTTTTTCCCCGGGTGGCCGTAGCGCTCACATTTGTCTCCGATATCTCGTGGAAAAAATCGCCAGAGCCGAAGCGGATTTCCGTCTTCTTCGTCTTCCTCTCCACGTATACGTCTCCCAACAACTCCCGTGTTTCCAGGGGTAATAACGTGGCATGTCATCGCAGAGACTGACCACCACCCGGTTGGCGACGTCGTTGATGCTCGTAATATTCTTCAACTGTTCGGCCTGGCCCCGGTCACCGAAGGTCAACAAAAGGTCACCACTCGACCGGTGAACTCAACTCCCTCTATTCCTGAAGTAAAAGAAAAACTCCTTCAGGATGAGGAGGTTCAGCTTCTGAGGGGTTGAAGATGGAGGATACATCTTCACGGTCTTCACCTTCTCCCACACGGCTTTCATGGCCGAGGTCTTGTCTCAATGTGGGGCCCCTCATATAAAGTGTGGTCCCCCTGTGCCCCCCCCCCCATATGGTACTATGTGCTTCTATTTTACATCACCAGACATAGTACAGTAATAATGTATACCATAAGAAACACTCTTCTACTTAGTACGATTCTCTGATCACTCTCCCATCATACGTGCTGCAGCCACGGGCGAATATATTTACGGCTAGCCAAAGGTGTATAAACTTTCATCCAAGGCATCTGTTGTAATTGTGTTAGAAAGACGAATTTGACACCATAATGACCTCAAATAAATTCTCAACGAGACGGCTACCGGACACCGAAAGCACCCGGCAACACAAGGCGATGGGCGACTTGCCGAACACAGCTGTACCGAGAGCATAAGAAAGACAGTGGAAAAATAAACTCTTTTCCACAAACATTAAAACACCAAGCAGCAAAAATAACATTTGTATGGCATATGAAACCTCTTTGGGAATGAAATCTAGGTTAAAAATTACACAAAGTTCGGCATTCTCGGGACGGTCGAAGCAAATCCCTCAATTTGGAATTTCAACCAAACTGGGCAGGTCTTCCTCCTCCCACAAATAGTCTACTGTACTTGGCAATTGTATTTTTATGCCAAGTCTTTTAAACCATACAAGACCTTAAGCTATTACAACTAGCACCTGGGTATTTAGCGTTTAATACCTTTGTTATTGTCCGTCTTGTGAGCTGGATTTATAAACATTTACCCATTGATTATTGTAGAGAAATTAGAGCATACAGAGAAGGGAGAGATTATAAACAGTGTGAAATGATAACTAGGATAATTTGGGGGTATAATCCTGTTGATAATTACAGTACAATAAAACCTTTATTTAACGGCAATATGGAGAGGAAAGTCCGTTATATCGAGGGTTCGTTAGACGTGAAACCCCCATACAACGAACTATATAGAGATGACAGTCCGTTATATCGAGGGTCCGTCAAAAGTGAAACCCCGCTGGTGGTAATAACTACAACAATCATCCTGGTGGTGGTAATAACAACAATCATCATCCTGGTGGTGGTAATAACTACAACAATCATCCTGGTGGTGGTAATAACAACAATCATCATCCTGGTGGTGGTAATAACAACAATCATCATCCTGGTGGTGGTGGGAATAACAACAATCATCCTGGTGGTGGTGGGAATAACTACAACAATCATCCTGGTGGTGGTAATAACAACAACAATCATCCTGGTGGTGGTAATAACAACAATCATCATCCTGGTGGTGGTGGGCATAACAACAATCATCATCCTGGTGGTGGTGAGAATAACAACAATCATCCTGGTGGTGGTGGGATTAACAACAATCATCCTGATGGTGGTGGGAATAACTACAACAATCATACTCACTTCGCTGTCGCCCTTCGAGCCGTACGCGGAGCAACAACATTGGAGAAATTTATTTGTCTCTCTGGGGGCGGACCTCCTTTCGGCTGCCCACGAACGATAACAGCATCGCCAGACAATACCTGCCAAGCCAATCATTCATGTTAATCAGCAGTATGAAATGTTGTAATGTTTTAGTGTTTTTTTTGCAGGAGTTCCATCCATATCAGGGAGTTTGGGTCATCCACCTATTTGGAAGTAGGTCAGGATCATTCAAAACACGTTAAAAGGCATTGGAAAAACGTAATTATAACCTAACCTAAACCCTCCTATTCTAACCTAACCCATCCTAACATAACCTAACCCATCCTAACATATCCTAACCCATCCTAACATAACCTAACCCATCCTAACATAACCTAACCCATCCTAACATAACCTAACCCAACCTAACCCATCCTAACCTAACCTAACCCACCCTAACCTAACCTAACCCACCCTAACCTAAGCCAGCCTAACCCACCCTCAAATGGTAATAACTTAAAACCCTAAAATTCGCTGGATGACCGAAACAATAATAGCGCCAACATCATAAAACAACATATGACACCCGAGTTAACAAGTAATACTGATTTTATGAATGACTCGAAACCTGTGTATATATATAGACCTTAATCCAATGGTGATACACAACCCCCCCCCCCTAAAAAAATATATATTCCTTCTGTAAACAAATGTTAACTCTTGCGTACAGTACAAATATTTAGTTATAATCCAGATGACCCGACCTAAAATGACCTGGCCTGACCTAACCTGCCCTGACCTAATATAACCAGACCTAACCTGACCTAACCTAACACGACCTGACCTAACATAACCTGAACTGACCTAACATGACCTGACCTAACATGAACTGACCTAACATGACCTATCATAACCTAAGATAACATGACCTAACATGACCTGACCTAACATGACCTGACCTAACCCGATATGACCTGACCTGACCTAACATAACCTGACCTGACCAAACACAACCTAACCTAACCTAAATATCTTGTAAAGCTCATGCTATAGTAACACCATTATCTTCCTATATACAAAAGGTGGCTAATATTGACGACTAACCCGCCAACGCATTATTTGTTTCCAGGTTTATTTTCTTACTAACAAGTACCTTAAAAAAACCTCCTCTAAATGTCATTATCAAATACTGTTGTGGTCTATTTCACAAATCATTAAAATATTCACAATAACTGAATTTGTGTTCTATTAAAATTAGTTTATTGTTAAATGTCATCAAACTCGCCTTACATTAGGTTAGGTCGGGTTAGGTCAGGTTAGGTTAGGTCAGGTTAGGTCAGGTTAGGTTAGGTCAGGTCAGGTTATCTATATACAGGGATGACCAACACTCAAATTTTTCCTTGTACCTTGCCTATTAATCCATTTAAAATCAGTAGAACATCCCATTAGTCTATACAACACCAACCTAACCTAACCTAACCTAACCCAACCTAACCAGTAATTCTGAAACAAACCCATCATCTATAGGACAGTGAAACTAAGGTATTTTTATAATCATTTACTATGTTAAAGCCCCGGCTGGTCAATTGTCAATAATTCCCATCATTTCTAAATTCTGCTGTAATTTTGCAGTAAATAGCAACCACAGAATTCTGGAAGGTCAGGTCAGGTCAGGTCAGGTCAGGCGATTCTTGATTGCTGTAATCTGCAATTTTACCAATTCCTCTTTCCTTGTTTAATTAAGACTTCATAAAATTAATCACTGTCGATATACATACACTTATAGAACCCTTTAATTTAGTTATATTTTATAAAACCACAAAAGACCAGAGTTAAAACCTAAAGTAACTATGAGTGGGTCTAATCTACATATGGTCCACTTACATAAGATATCAGTAACTCAAATCCATACTGATAACTAATATTCAATAAATTCTAGAATAATTCACGTTAATAGACACACATTAACTAGTATTAACTTAAATATAACTAGAAAAATAATAAAAATCCATTGGAAAAACACATTATTATAAGTTGTTTCTGGAAGGTAAATCACTATTCTAAGTTAGTTTTAATATGTCTAGGTTATAATTATCTACTTGTTTTTGATAGAATTTAGATAAAAATTATAAAATATTACTTAATTAAAGCATTTATACCCTTTGTAAATAACACACAAACCATCCAGATATAAACTACCAATATAACACTATCTACCTTCAATAACCACTAAATATACCTATAATAAGACCCTATAGGATATAAACACGTAAGAATGAGTGCATAGAAGGTATAAAAGGTGAATATTAGTCATTTTTTCTATCGTCTTTATAAATATTGTATAAAATCATATGGTCCATAACCCAGCCTTCCCCTCTCTCTCTCTCCTTATGTCAGTCAACCACAAAGCTACAGTAAACTATCAACAGGGTGAGTTTTCATTGAAGAGCCTTAAATTCGAGGGTAATTATCGTCCTAACCTGTTTAACAATGCCGCGGCAGACTTGTGGTGGTTGAGGAGCAGCCATGGTGTCTTGTGCCTGACGGAGGAGGTAAGTCACGTGACCACGCCGGCTGACAGCTCTTAAGGTCGACTACCATACCTAACACTCCTAATAACCTTAATACCATACCTAACACCCTATTACTGATATCCCTACATTAAATATCTCTAATATACACAAAATATTAATGTATTGGAAGTTAAGTTAATATAAGCCATTAATTAAGTTTATAAATGATCTGTGGGATATATTTACTTCTGTTTCAGTTGTGTAGTTGAACTCAAAACAGATGAGTTTTCATGGTGAGTATTTCATGCAGTTTTCAACTCTATGTTTCTGTTTATTATTTTCGCATCTTTGTTACTTTACATCAATAAAGATCACGTAATTATTAGCGAAATTTTCCACGTATTGTAGCTATTGACCTTAAAAGTATAATTGCAATGGTGATGTGGCAGGCTCTAGCCACATCACCAACGCCATCTACACACACCTCAATGGCTAGTGGGGTCCTCCGTCCTAATGCACCCTAGTCCTAAGGGTGAATGTCTATTGTGCAATGTGTTGGTTATTATTTTTTTATAAATTAGGACTATGGTTGTATAAGTTCCTCTATATTTTCTAAATCTGTCCTGCCTGGGATTGTATTTCTCTTCAAGTTCGAGGTGTATTCTCTCTCTCAATGGTTCATGTTTGTTTTTTTTTGGTTTTTCCGTGTATGGTCTTTTGTATTTTGGCCTCCATCCTTTTTCTATGATTTATTTTTATTAAGTTACTGAATTGTGTGTCTAGGATTGTTGCTTGGTGTGAGTATTAGGGGTGTGGTAGTGCTCGGTGAGGTATGTGGTGTTCCATTGCTTGGCTCACGTTTTCGCTAGTGAGTTCTCTATTTGGGAGGTGTGTTTATAGTGTATTTGGTGATTGTTTTAACTCTTGCTTTAATACCTCCCAGTTAGACTGGCTGTAGCTGTGTCTCAGCCTCACAGGGATCTGTATTGGAGACGACGGAGAGTGTGGTAACGATAGGGAGGTGGTCACAGGTGTTTTGTTTTTTACAGGGATTAGCCCACCCGGACACAGGTCACTGACCCACATCGGGGCCTGGGGGGTGAAAATGTAATAATAATAATAATAATAATAGTAACAACAACAATAATAATAATAATAATAATAATAATAATAATAATAATAATAGCTCATAGTAAATAACATTTATAATAAAAATACAAAATTAAATAATAATGATAATATTAACTGATAATGATAATAATAATAATAATAATCATAATAAAGAACCATAAAGAAATACAAAAACGAACAAAAAGATCAATAGTGAGAAACAATATATTTATGTTGTGTTGTCAAAGTAAGAGAAACAATTGAGGCCCTGCAATAGTGTGTAAATGAGTCAGATCATCAACCTGGGACTTGGTCACCTTTGGCAGCAGGGTCCACCATTAGACAACACATTATGCTGCCAATATCTTCCCAGGCCGGGTTCCATTAGCAGGTTAAGATGGTGATGTTGGTTTGTTAGTCTGGATGTCCAATGAGTTCTGCTTTGATATATGTGGGAAATTCCGGGCCAAGGTGTAGTGCGTTTAGGTCACCCAGAAAATATGCCGGTACAGTTCTCATCAGCCTGAGCGTGTCTGCTAGTGGGAATATGGGTCTTCTCGGAGGGAGCTAACAGGTGCCGATTATGATGGGTCCTGTTGGGCTTTTTATTTCAATGGCCAGAAAGTTTTCAAGGAATGAGTCGTATATCTTGTTTTGTATGTTTCGTTTAATGCAGTGGCTCTCAACCTTCTTCACTCCATTCCCCCCTTGAGGAATTTCCAACCTCCTCGTGGCCTCCTTCATTTTTCTCCCAGAACAGACAAACAGACAAGTGATAAAGACTAAAGAATGATAAAGAAGGACAGATAAATAGGACAAGAGTTAGAATGGCAAACACACACACACACATTCACATACATAACACGACCATGCACTCACACATAAGGCACACATACAGTCATACACAAACATGCACACAGGTAAACATTCACACTCAAGCTAGCAAGCTGAAGTGTACTTCCTGTAAGCAAGAACACGCCTCCTTTGACAAGCACTGCCCAACTTGGAGGAATGAGAAGAATAGTGAGTCATACCAATTTAGCACTAACATGGTAGGATTATATAAGTAAAGAATGAGTGTGAACAACAATGGCACCAATAAATAAGGAAATAATTAATAAAGGGAGTGTACAAATATTTCACCCACGTAAAGCAGCGACCACATGAATTATGAAATAAAATAAGTAACACCAATTACGGAGTATATTGTGCTTAAGTCAAGCTCAAACACAATATGTGGTTCAGAGACAATACACTCCACTGTTTTCGTGATGGTATCCCAGGCCCGACTGAGATCATTCGGTCCTATCACCACTTGTAAAGAGAGTACACACGGACACGTACTGAACAAGTCAGTTCAGCAGCTCGGTTCAGCGCCTGTCACAGACAGGGACTGTACCTGTGAAATCTTAAATAATCCGTAAAAAAAAAAAAAAAAAAATTAGCACCAGAGTAAGTAAATATTAAAATTGTATTGTCGTTTTGATTAAACAAAATGTCAAAAAACAATGAAAATTCTCTTCTGCCAAGTCAAAATAAGTAATACAAGTTTTGTTTAGTTCAGATTCCCAACATTATTTGGAAACGTACAATTTATAACGGCTCGCCGTGGTTCCCTTGGGGGCCATGGCCCCCAGGTTGAGAACCACTGGAATGCCTATGGCACTTCCATCATGTAGTGGGTCTTGACTGTATTTTTAGTAGACTGTATAGCTAAATATTTGTATTTTTTTTTATCTTTTTCTTGTTCGAATTTAGGAGGATAATATCTGGCTCTATGTTACAGTATGTGTTATATAGTTCGCTTGCTCTCTGTGGGATCTATGCTAACACATTGTGCTGGATTATTTTAAGCCTGTGGAGTAGGCAGTAGACAGCTACCAAACAGGGAGGTACTACCACCTGGGAATATATTGGCAGCCTAATGTATTGTCTAATCTCTAATGGTGGACCCTGCTGCCATATGTGACCAAGTCCCAGGTTGATGATCTGACTTTCTGCCTCATTTACACACAATTGCAGGGTCTCAATTGTTTCTCTTACTTTGACAAAAGAACATTCCCGTATAATATATTGTTTCTCGCTCTTGATTTTTTTTTTAATTTTTGTATTTCTTGGTGGTTCTTCATTATTATTATTGTAGTGGTATTATTATGGTATTTTATCTTGCTTTGCCTTATTTCTGCCAGGAGTCCTTCTGTTGAGACTATGGGGGGGAGCTGTAGTGGAGAAAAATCGAAAGCCAATTTCGTCTCCGAGGTCTTCATTCTCTGTGATCTTGCTAGATGACGGTGGTGGCGCCATAGTTCCTGTTTAGTTCTTTTTTGGGGGTGCTGAATTTGGCCGCGTGTTCTGTATTTGTGGCGGATTCTTCTTCCTCCGCCATCGTTTCTTCCCCGCTTGCTGGGTTAGGGTGTATGTCAGGGGTGGCCTGTGCTTGGGTTGATGGTTCTTGGCTTGCGGTGCTCTCTGGTTTGTATATCATGTGTGATATTTGTTAGCGGCGAACGTATCTCTTGCTGCCTTGGCAAAAGTTCCAGGTCTGGCTATGTTTATGAAGTGGGCGTGGATAATATAGTACCACAGGTTGTTTTGCGGGGGATGGTGTGGTGACTTTTTAGAGGACCTTCGTTGTTTCTTTGGTTACCTTTGTTACAGCTGAGTACTTCCTGTTTTACTGTTCTCGTGTCTTTTCCATCTCCTTCTTTTGGTTGATTATTGTTTTTCTTGTTGGGTATCGAGCAGCCAGTGTTCTGTGCTCTCCTTCACAGTTTAAGCATTTGGGGGTATCTTTGTTTTTACATTCCCTGAAGGTGTGCCTCTTGTTCCTGCATTCTGGTCAGTACTTTGTGTCCATGTTAGGGCAGTCTGTAGCCGTGTGAGTGTATTGATAACAGTTCCAGCACGGAGTAAGGGGGAAGAATTCCTCCTGGTCCAGCTGGCTGCTGTTGACGTGGTAGTAGGAGAGGCAAAGTCCCTCCTGGGTTGATCTTTTACTTTAAGTTTTTTACTTGTATCCTCTTCACCACTGATCAGCTCTTTAGCCTCTTGGGCGGTCGGTCACACCCCATACGCACTGTTGTATGTGTAGGGGCCAGAATAAAGACATGATGATTTATAAGCATTGGCACCTGTAGGCCCAAGTCCACGTGGGGCACGGAAGCTATCGAAGTAACTCCTGGAATCTCATACGGACAGGGACAGGTGAACCCGCCTGTGTGTGAGAGGGTGAGCGGTGAGGACCATAAAGAAGGACAAGTTAGGTCGGAGGGAATGTTTGGCCCAGCAATCACTGTTCTACTTTGAGGAACCCACCTGGTGTTGTGGGTAATGCTTGTGGCAGCTACGAAACCTCCCCAAGGGATCTCTGGATATCTCACGCTTTCAGCACCCAGGAAGTGAAGATGTGTTGGTGCTGCTTTGAAGTACTCACTGTTGCTACTTTTAGCGACCTGATGATCCCGGACGCAGATCTAGTCCTGGTTATGAGTGTATGTGAAGGATCTAATCTACCTAACATGAGTAGGGGGTGAGACGGTTACCTGCTATGTGTACCTTGGTGCTAAGAATGAGCTACTTTACCTGTATGTATTATTAAATGTTCCTTTATTCGGGTGCTATTAAGAATTTGGTGATATTATGGAGTGACCTAAGTGAGGAGGTTAGTTATTTTGTAGGGGAAAAGTGACCTTAGTCTTGGGAGAAGGTCTGTTATCTTTGGTCTGGTGAAGTGACTTTAATTTCTTGGGGAAGGTCAACTATTTTTGTATTGTGACTGAGTGCAGCATATTTAATATGTCTATCATAAATTAATTAAGGATACTGGCTGGTGTTTCACCCTTCCTTTCACCTTAAACTTTGATTAATGAAAATCACGAACTCACGATGCTAAACTGCTTTGCCAGCTACTAAAAGAAGAACTGCCCTGCGGTCTGGTGGCAGGGACTCTAAGTTAAGGAGTAAATTAAGTAAAACCTAGTCTTAAGTGACTGACTAAATTTCAAGTTGCTGAACATACTTGAATTAGTTCTTGTATGATATCGGGATTCGCTGTACCATTTAGCAAAAAATTACCCTTATTTAAATGTAATTCGGAGTGTGGAATCCACTTAGAGAATTATCTAGCTAATGAAACATAATATCAGATGTTTCAATTGGAAAGATGCAATACAAACTGTTGCTGCCATCCAAGATAACACTACAACGAACGTGACAAGAAAGAGTCTGGCTAATATATTTTCCTAATCACACCCAGCCATCCTGTTCTCCAACCTCGTGTAGCTATTTTGTCTGTTAAATCCCACCCAACCATCTTATCTTCCCAGCTCCACCAGGCATCATGTCCATCGTACTGTAGTTTCAGTTATAGGCATAATTTGGTAAAGTTATCCATAAAGTGTAAAAGAAAACGTAAATATGTCACTCTTGAAGGGATACCACGTTAAAATCCTCATCAATAGGGTTGTGACGGTAATGTTAAACAGAGGGACCTATTCAGAATATATATTTTATGATTATATAGTTTATGTTAAATGACGCAGCTAAAAAATAATCAGTTGTAATAGTACTGTTTAAGTACTGAATATATCAAAGAAAATATCAATAAAAACTAAAAAAGACGAAATGTCAAATAACTTACTTTAAAATATAAAGAAAATGACCTCAAATGACAGAGGTAAAAGGAAAAGTATGATACTTTAAGTTTAGACTAACAAAATTAATAAACTTGAAATATTATAGTATGTATTTTCACTCTCTTGTCAGGTTAAGCTTGTGGAAGACCAACAGTAAGGAGAAGTTTCATATGACCTAACTTGACCACGAAACAACATTAACTTAGGTCAAATGTGAAAAGGATTTAAGTTTGTATATTGATAACGAACAAAATATTCGAAGATCATTGTGAGAATAAACGACTGCTACTAACTAGATCACTCACATGCCTTTGTAACTTCAAAAATTAAGTTCCCTCCATTTTTATTTTTTGAGTTGTGTGAAAAGAAATATTCAAGTTAGGTATGACAATGAAACTCCTTCAGGTGTTAGCCGTCTGCTTCACCTATACCGAACTCTACATTAACAGTTTCCTTCAGTTAACATTACAGCATACAGTTATAGTATTCATGTCTTCGTTCACTGTATACAGGCATGGAAACCCTACCTCCAGAAACACCTGACACCCTTATAAACGGTGCAACACAGAGCCACTAAGATGATTCCTCAACTATGTCATCTAGAATATATAGATAGACTGAGGGCCTTAGAACTAACACTCCTTCAGACAAGACACAATAGGGCAGACCTCATTAAAACAAACTCCTCAAAATAGATGGAAAACGTGAACCCGGGACATTTCTTTGTGATGTCACGCACCATCAAGACGAGGGGACATAACTACAAGCTGGCCAAGTTATCATGCAGAACAAACATAAGGAAATACTTCTCCACACAGAGGCTGGTAGACCTATGGAACAGTCTACCGAAGCTGTGGAATCATGAACAATTCTGGGCTTCAAAAATAGGCCGTGACAAAATTATCAAGAACAATGGAGGGATCCTATACACCCTCTATACCGTTACACAGGTTACATTATGGTAGGTTAGGTTAGATTTGTTTTTCCTATGATTTTCGTTGTGATTTGTTTGAATCTGACATTGGTTTTTGCCGGCAATCACTCGTTTTTAGTCCACCCACCCCCCCCCCCTAACCCAAAACCCCATTTCCTACCGCCTTCTTATCTGAGAGTTGGCGACCACAGTCCTCCACTCTATAAATATCTCCTTTTTGGTAACCTGAGTACTTTTCCATTTGCTTTCCAGTCTGTGTTACTTATATTTAATATTCGCGTATAATACCACATTTAAAAGGCCTTTAACCTTTTTATGTTGCATGGTAAATGTGTGGGGGTATGAGAAACCCACTACAAATGTTATACACTCTTATTCAACAGTGAACGACTTGTGGGTTAGTGATTGAATAGCCACTGAGTAAAAAAATATGGTCCTTACGTAATTTAATTAATCATTTAGTTTATCCCAACAGCTAAAAAATAACGTTATAATGCATTAATGCTCTTCAACAGCTAAGGTCTTTAAGCAAGGATACTCAGACACTGTAAATAATAATATAAAAAAATATACGCATTTATCTTATATTTTGTTTCACCTAGTCTACCACAGCTCCCAATACACACATTATATCTCACATTACTAACAAACAAAGACTATATACTAATTTATTATCATGAATAGATATATAATTCGAGTTATTTAATGATATATAATGAAATAACAAGAGGCAGTACAAGTGATGGTCAGGTTGGCAGTCCTGTCTCATCACAACATTGGGTTTACCTCCTTGGTTTACCTCCTGGTTTATGTTTTGGGAAGTAACACATATTTCCCGATTTACTTTCCCATGACGGTAAGTATCCACCCAGGAATGAACATGGGGTAGATAAACAATGTGTGGTTTATATGTGAGAGGTGAAATAAGGGTAATTAAGGTTTAAAGATGTGTGTAGAAGTGAAGGTCACTATGGGGGTGCCCAGACTCTTATGCCTAGGGATGAAAGTCTCGTCTAAGATTTATTACTGAAATCCTGAACCCCATATGCACCTACCACCCTAATGACCTTAATACCCCCAATGCCTTCAACACCCCCCAATGCCTTCAACCCTCAATCCTCCCAATGCCTTCAACACCCCCCAATGCCTTCAACACCCCCAATGCCTTCAACACCCCCCAATGCCTTCAACACCCCCAATGCCCTCAACACCAGCACTCTATAAATAGGAACTAATATGCCACATTTATACTGGCCTTCTACATTACCGAACAATTTAATCTAACCTCATAAACACAAGGTCAGCGTCGGGAATAATCAGAGTCGCTATTATCTTGCTTTTATTGCGCGAGTATAGTGTTGGTGGTGGGTCGTGTTTGCTGTTCTCACATTTCATAATTACCAGGCTCTTATTTTGTGATGATAGGTTGGGTTAGGTTAGGTTTTATTTTCTTCTGTTTTCATCTTTACTTGATGTTCAGTTAGGCTGGTAAAGTAATGTACAGCATCTTGATATATGAGAGGCATTAGTTTAGGTTTCTTAGGTTAGGTTAGATTGGGTTAGGTCACGTCAGGTTAGGTTAGGTCAAGTTTGGTTCGGTCAGGTTTCCTCCTATTTGCAGTTTTAAATATAAATCGGGCTCGTTATAACATGGAGTTCAATGGCGTACATTCCCAGCCGGTCTTACACCCGCATGTTTCACCGAAAATAAAATTCCTACACTAATACTATACCTACAACATAAACAACACTCACCACATCATTAAGAACAAGCCTGGCCGTCATCACGTCCCCTTTGAGGCTAATGTGACTCTTGAAAGTGGAGTGGAAACATCACCCTGACTCACACACAGCCTCTGGGGAGTCTCATGCTACTTCACAATGTCATGCTTCACCTCCAGACATTTTCAGTGTTACACCACTCACTTCACAGTCACCAAAACAGAGTACAGTGTGAGCATAACCGATGACCTCTCGTTGTATGGTAAAAAAAAATAAACACCGATGATAATTAATAAAACTGGTACTGATCGATAATCATTGAGTTGTACTTAATGCTACCTTGGGGTTAGGTTGGGTTAGATTAAGGTGGTTAATTTTGAGGTGAAATAAGCTGGAATTCCTACTCATCAGGTGATCTGGATTAATTAAAATGAAGAAAAGTATCCCCCCCCCATTGTCCCTTACAAATCATCATAAACTATCATTAAACCCTTTACTTTACATCTTATTTTGCCATCCAAGCTCAATTTAGAATAATATTGTACTGATATTAGCAACACAACCAGGCCTTGTTGACTAGGCATCCAGTACTGTATTTGATAATGGCAGAATGGTGAACAGATTTACTCAATTTTTCTTAAATTCTTTCAGTGTTTTGGCCCAGACCCGTGAAACTCTTTTTGTTCTAAATACACAATTTCCTACATGTCGTCTAGAAATAAAGGGGAAGAGGGTTATTTAACATAGAAATTCAGCACAGTTACAGGACATGAGTGAGATTAGCAGGGAGTGAATACACAGGTTACCTATGTGTGTGTGTGTGTGTGCATATATTATTAAAAATTTTACCCGGGACTAACACACTATAATCATGAATTCTAACACCTCAAATACTATGGACAAAACAAAACATCATCATTAAGATTACTTTCTGTTAATAAATCCTATTCATTAAGTTATAGTTACCTGATATATAGACCAAAGAATTGTAGTTATTATTGTAACATAAATCATCAGAATTCCAGATGGCAGCAGCTACCAAGACAACCAGCGGGACAGTGGTACACCCTGATACACGATTTACTTCCCTCAGCTCTCTGACTGATCCTCTCCAGTTGTCTCCAGCAGTATGTCTGACTTTTTAATTTGTTGATTAATATGGCTGATTGACACCTAGTCCTTGCAATAATGGCTGACTTAACCTTGACTTCACCTTGCCACTTTGGTTGTCTTTGGCTGCCATTGTTGTTATGTTTTTTGCCATGAAGTAAATTATTACACACTGTTTAGGTACTTTATGTGATACAGTTAACGTGAATTATTACACAGTGGTTCAAGAAATATACATACCTGTGTAATTTCTCTTGATGTAAGTCATGTAATACAGCCATAACACTTAATCACACCACACGCACTATTCTGCCTTGACCACGACAGGTAGAGGGTCGGGTGGAACCGTACGAGCTGGTAGAGCTGTTCTATGGAAGCAATACCACATCCCCAGCCACGCATGCATCTCAGCTCTCTCCCAGATCAGCAGGAACCTCTTCTCCTGAGATCATGCAGGTAGCATTAGGAAGGAGTGTAAATATATCAGGTTTAAGTTTTTTACCTTGGTACTGTACTGAGACCCTGTAGCATGTGTCTAATTTTGAGATTTTGTCACTAATTTGTTTTTCTTTTTATTATTAGTCAGAGTTACCAACCCTACCAAACCAAGCAGCCTTGAGGTCGTGTATTATATGTAGTGTGAGCCGCTGTACCTTAGATGATTGTGTTCTAATGAGATACATAGTCTAGTGTCTACCAGCTGTGAAACATTATTATGGTCTTATTATTAAACAGATTAAAACTTCCTCACCAACCATGTTCAAACTTTTATAAAACTGTAAAGTGTGAAGACTCAATACAGGTGATATATAGTGGTCTTGGTTTTCCTCTTACGACAATAAACTAAATAAATGAACTGATATTACCCTCAGCCCCTCCCCTTCCCATAATAACCTAAACCTTTCTCTTTACCACCACTTCCCACATACGGTACTCAGCTCAGTTCTCCGACTGGAAGATAATTTGAATCCTATTTATATTGAATGCATTATGATGGGGTATTGTCGATTACTGTATATTTTTTCATCTGATTTCTCCGCCATCTTTGTTGATTCCCTCGCTTGCAAAAGAAAACAAAAGAGAGAACGTTAATCTTTGCTTGGTGTGAGACTTATAAGACACCCTGTACAGTACATATCTAATTACACTCACCTCTCGTTTTACGTGGGGGTTATGTTCTTGAAAACTACTGCTTAATTAAAAAACACGTAAATTGAGCATAATTTTCCCATAAGAATACATGTAAATGGTACAGGTTAGTGCTTTCTCTTAAACCAAGCATGCGGCCAACCTCCGACACACGCTCTCCTCTCTGAAGGCGGGCGATCACATTTAATTTCACGTCCATTGTGATTGTTTATCGTGCCTTTTTGCTTAAGGCGCCCCAGAGGAGGCAGATGGATGTTTTCCAGACATGCTCAATGGGGAAAACAGCATTTAACACTAAAAGGTACGTGATAAACACACAATGCAAATGAGAGCACAGAGAAAAAGTAGTGCTGGTGTGAAGTGAGAAAGTGATACCCGGGAAGCTTGCTGGACGTGGTCACAGTTGTTGTACAGAATACTTCATTATCATCATTATCTTCATCATTAGTAGTAATAATCTTTATTATTGCATTATTATAATAATAATAATTATTAATAATATTAATATTGTTGATGTTGATATGACTGTGACTTTATAGTACAGGTTGACAATCCCTTATCCGAAATCCTTGTGGCCAGAGGCATTTCGGATTTCGGAATTTTTTGGTTTTCAGATTTTTTTGTTTTTTTTTATGTGTGTTAGCCCACCCAGGCACAAGTCACTGACCCAAATTGGGGCCTGGGAGGTGAAAATATAATAATAATAATAATAATAATAATAATAATAATAATAATAATAATAATAATAATAATAATAATAATAATAATTCATTGGGCTAGGTCGTTTTTCTCACTTTTTATCTTTTTTCATTCTTGTATTTCTTTATTATTATATTATTATTATTATTATTAGTAAAGTATTATTGTTATTTTTATTATTATATTTTCTTATTATTATTATTGCACTATTATTATTATTTTATTTTGGTGTATTTTTTATTAAAATTTTTATTTACTATGAACAATTATTATCATTAAAATTAGTATTACTCTTACATTTTCGCCCACCAGGCCCCGATGTGGGTCAGTGATCTATGCCTGGGTGAGCTAATCCCCGTGAAAAAAAAAAAAAAAATGCTCCACAAAAAAACTTTCGGTTTTCGTAATTTCGGATAAAGGGTTGTCAACCTGTAATAACTTACAAGCACCTCACCAGGCATCACACGTGACTCCACTGCCGGCGACCGGGCGCGGCAAATTTAAACTGTCTTGAGCGCGTTATTTCAAAAATAGGTTCACCTAAATTAGCTTTTGGAATTAATTGAACAATCGCGTTATTCCAAAAACGCTTAAATCAAACGCGAGTTACCTGTAATTGTACACGTCCACAGCCTAACTCGGGAATGGAAAGAACTGAGCTGCAGTGTTCATGTGTTATACAGTATTCACCTTGATAACCCTTACAGCTGGTATGTTTTAGGGGGTCAAAGATGAAGGTCACAACTTGTAAAAGGTATAACACCCAGCATGAATTACCACCTCACTTGAGTACAGTCAGATTGATTGTTACTGTACTGTATTTCTACACACTTAAAAGGATTTTTTTTTCTGTCATCCCTGATTTTTTTATTAACTTTTTTTCTGAACTTCTTTGTTAATTTATTGATTTTATATCATCAAAGGGAACCACTTATCTCCCTTCATCCTTCCCTTACTGCACAGTGGTTCCCAATGCAGGTGTTCCCCAAAAACTGATGTCCCGTTAACTGCCACTTGGCATAACCAACAATTACGTATAGAGGAAATACCCCCCAGTTTCGTTGATACCCGAGATCCGACAATCGGCAGAGCAGTTTTGAATTTGGCGAGAGGTGGCATGGTGCGAATTCTTGCCACCAGAGGGCTCTGCACACTGCCTGGACTCATTCCCACCTTCTTTACTCTTGTTTACACTTATAATGTGTCTGTCTTCATATATTGTTTCATTATTTCTGACTCAATCATACCTAAACACCCCAGTGAATGTTCTATTGTGCTGGGCAACTTGATGTGATAAGGTGTAATAAGGCAGGTAGAGACTTGAACTTGCCACCCTAGACTGTCTCTACCATCCTCAACACAGGTAAATAACTGTGTCAATTTATGGTTTACATTGCTTATTTAAGGCTTATTAAGCTTGCTTTATATGTCTGCTTTACTTTCTTGGTTGACAGTGTACAGTACAGAGATATATCAAGGGTAGATGGGAGTTTGTGGAGGGTGGCCGGTCCCTAACACCCTGAATTTGTTATGTTCTTATGGGATGAATTGCTTTGATAACTGATGATTCACTAACCAACAACTTTTGCTGGTCCCTATATGCGTTGGTTATCGGGCTGCCCATAAAACTGTCCCAAAACTGCTTTAATAAACACTAAACATTGTAAATAATATATAAAAAAATTGTGCTTAATACCCCAACATGGAGACAGCCAGGTGCCAGGACTGTATTGTCAACACATTAATACCCCACAATAACTCATCTGGGGTTGAATGTGGGATTTTTGTGTGTGAAGATTTATTACTCTACAATAATGTTTTGTTAACCTGGCACCAAATGAACCTAAATAATATAGGAATTATGGTGAAATTGCATAATGCTATATTAAAGAGGTCAGAGGCAGAGGGGTGTGCCTGTCTTGGGAAGTGACCTCAGTCCACCAGCCAACTGCTATACCTCACACAAACAAATAAAAACAATAATAATAATACCAGTGGCCTCGGTTAACGAACTAATCTGTTCCAGAAGGTCGTTCGTTAACCGAAACGTTCGTTAACCGAAACCATTGTTTCAATGGGTTTTTGGGTAATTGGTTCCAGCTCACCGAAAATTTCCTAACTTCAACAAAAATGGCGGAAAAATTTACTTACTTTGAGGTGTGTATGTAGAAGGCTCCTGGATGATGGTGATGATGTGCATTTGAAGTGGGAGGTGCAGGAGGAGAAGGGAGAAGAGAAGGAAGTGGAGGTGGAGGAGAAGCATTTTACTGCTTCTTGGAAGGTGAGTCACCTTCCATGAAAATGTCAGGAACCTCTGGACTGACAGATTCTCCACCATGAACATCCTCTCTCCTTCTTGAAGTGGAAGGCTGAGGGCTAGCATCTTGTTCCCTCTGCCTTTTACTGAAGAAAGTGTCAATTGTGGTCTGTGGGGCATCTGTCCTCCTCACCATTAACTTATGTTTAAAGAAGGAGACCACTGAGTCCTCAACATGACACAAAGTTAGTTCAGTTTTTTCCACTTCTGGGTGCTTTGAAGCCAGTTCCCTGAACTTCTCCCAGTGGTAAATCACATCTTTCAACTGTTTAGCTGACATATGGTCATCACTTTCAATTTCCTCCTCACCACTGTCAGCCTCTACCCGTAACATCTCATCCAGTTCCTTCAAGTCATTAGGAGTAAGTTCCTCCTCATGAGACATCACAAGCTCTTCCACATCCTTCTCCTCCACTTCAAGACCCAATGACTGACCAATGGACACAATCTCCTGGTCCAACTCTGTGTCATCCTCAAATCCCTCAAAATCATGGACTACTGATGGCCACAGTGCTTTCCATGAAGAATTGAGGGTTCTATTGGAGACTTCTTGCCATGATGACACAATCAATTTTACAGCCTCCAGGACGTTGAATTGTGTCTTCCAGAACTGTTTCAGTGTTAGTTCAGGATCAATGGAAGTTGCCTGATGACACCTCCTAAACATTTTCTTCATGTACAACTTCTTGAAGTTGCTGATCACATTCTGGTCCATTGGCTGTATGAGTGATGTAGTGTTTGGAGGCAAAAACAACACTTTCACAAAGTCAAATTTATACTCCAAATTTCTGGCAAGGTCAGGGTCATGACCAGGAGCATTATCCATGAGGAGAAGAGCCTTTAAAGGAAGTTTATTGGTGGTTAGGTAGCTCTTGACAGAGGGGCAAAACACATCAATAGCCCATTCATTAAAGAACTGTCTTGTCACCCATGCCTTACGGTTGGACTTCCAATAAACTCCAAGCATTGTTCTTACCACTTTCTGTTGCTTGAACACCCTGGGGTTTTCAGAGTGGTAGACAAGCATAGGCTTCAGTCGGAAATCCCCTGAAGCATTGGCACCAAGCAATAGAGTGAGACGGTCTTTCATGGGTTTATGCCCAGGTAAAGAGGCTTCATCCTTGGTGATGAATGTTCTTTTGGGCATCTTTTTCCAGAACAGCCCAGTTTCGTCAACATTGAACACTTGCTGTGGAAGATAATTTTCTTCTTCCATCAGTTTTTTAAATTCAATTAAAAACTTTGCTGCCCCTTCTTTATCAGCACTAGCAGCTTCACCATGCCTAACAACACTTAAAATGTCACTTCTTTTCTTAAATTTTTCGAACCAGCCTTTGCTAGCCCGAAAATCTTCAAATTCTGTTCCTGAAGAACTAGGTTGATCTGTCTTTAAATGTTCATAAATCTCCCTGGCTCTTTCACAAATGAAATCACCAGAAACTGAATCACCTTTCATCTGTTTTTCCCTAATCCAGATGATAAGTAACCTCTCAGTTTCTACGATTAGGGATCTACTTTTAAACACTCTTGTAGATTTGTCTCTCACGTTCACTTCCTTAAATTTGTCTTTTTGTGCAAGAATTGTCGACACAGTTGATGCCGACATGCCATATTCTTTGCATAGCGCATTTGATTTAATACCTTGTTCGTGTTTTTTTATTATTTCCTGCTTCATTTGGATTGAAATCACTTTTCTTGATCTCTTAGGCCCCATGCTGGATTCAAACAATGGCAACACGTATTTTTCAAAGTTAAACTAGCTGTAAATAAAGAATATTTTCTTTAAAATAACACTGCACTGCACTATATATTGTCAATATGTAAAATAATTTTCAAAATGACCAATAATTTGCTTGGAAACACAGAAAAAAAGCGTTTAGTTGAAGAGTCTCAAGCAAGATGTTACCTCCAGTGAAAACAGAGAGAGACTAACGCCTGTTTGCTGTGTTAAGAGGCTGGATGCCGCGCATTAAACTAGTCACTTTACCTTCAATTTTGTTCAATAATTGTTAAAATGACTAAAAAATTGAATATTAAACTTTTAAAATAATTGAATAGTATAAACTTCTTGATATTTACAAAAATAGTAAGGAATTTAAGCCCTAGAACCGATTAATGTATTGGCGGACTGATACTAAAGCTGGTTGCCCGGTCAGTGCAAGCGAAAACATGTTGAGGTCGGTTCGTAAGAAGTTCGTTAAGCGAAATTTTTTTCGTTAAACGAATTGAAGATCATTATGGAAGGCAGTTCGTTAATCGAAATTACGTTAACCGAGGTGTTAAATTTAAACGAGGTCACTGTACAGTATTTGTTCAATAAAGTTGTCATACAGGTTTACAATTGGGTAAGCATGTCTATAAACTATGCAGTTATACCACTCGGTAAGAATATAGACGCTGTAGGTATACGGTGCAGGTAGGCCCTGAGAGTACTGTGTACAGTTTCCCGTGTGGTAAACAGTTAGGCAACTTGACCAAGGATACCCAACAAAATTGTCAGCTGCTTATTTCCAGGAGGGTCCTTTGCTTAGGCTTATGCTTGGTCTCTGATCAGTAATAGTTTGTCTACAGGAATATTAGTGAAAGTTTATTTGATAGAATTCAACAAGCATTACATTAGGCTTATACTACGGTAACTGTGGCTGGTGGATCATTACCACAGTACTCACTTGCTCTACTCTGGCTTCATTTGTTGTGTATTTCTTTGTTTTACCATAACTTGTTTTGATGTGGTCTGGTAACTTGTTCCAGCCTGTTATAGCAGTAAAGAAGAAAGTGTTTTTTCACTTGACTGCCGACACCAGGTTCCACAAAATTGTGTTCACTCCCTCTAGTGCCCTGTTGGTTTATATCCCTAATCCTTGCAGAGTCCATTGAAAATCCTGTAAGTGTGATTTACCCTCAGTTGCTTCACTCTCTCTGCCACACTTAACATGTTCAGTGATTGAAGAACTTTGTGACCAATGTGATCTCCTGCTTTCACGTCAAGAATAAACCTCTCCGCCTTGTTTGGAATAATTTGTAGCTTGTATGGTAGAGCAGAGTGCTGTACCATGATGAGCATGAATAGTCCCAGGTGACATTGTATGAGTGACAAGCAAAAGATCTTGCTTTTTTTTTAACTATTATCTACAATTAATTCACCAAACAAACAAGAATCAAGAGTTAGTTGCAGGTATTTCACAGAGGTTAGGTTAGGTTGAGAGTGTTCATTCCCTCATAATACAGTATACAATGAATTCGTTTACCCTTATCTAAATAATATTTGCTTCAGTGTTTCCAAGATGTAGGGATAATTTGTCATCTATGAGCCACTGTTTGTACGACCCCAGTTCAGATGATAACTCGTTAGCTTTGTCATTTGGATCTTTACCCGACACTAAAAAACCACTGTCGTCTGCATATACAGGGGGTCTACAATTAACACTAATGGCTATGTTGTTTACAGGACACAGGAAGAGCAAAGATCCTAGGATATATTCCCTTGTATTTGTTTCCTGCTGCTATGGTATGATATAAACCAATGCCAAGAGCCTGTAGTTTATCACATAGCTTATTGTGATTGACTGTGTCGAAGGTTTTTACCAAGTCTAGCGTTACCATACCTGTGTAATTTCCCCGAGCTGTTTGGGATCTAATATAAGTCCTTATTCACAGAAACGCTTACAGACCCGAGCTTATGTGCAAAAAAATTACCTTATCTTTACTGCTACATATGAGCACTTTTATGATTGAGTTATTAGATATCTTCATATTATTTACTTACCTTACAGAATATTCCCAAGATATAGTTTACTTACTATATACGTAATTCATTTATTGAACTTCCATTTCATTTAAATATTCACTTCTAGTCTTGGTAAATCATGACTGCAATATTTTCCTTTTAGAATTCATAAATGCATCTAGTAAAATGTTCAATTTGTAGTGACTAAAGTTGTCTTAATGTTTACAGGTTATAGAACAAGCAGTGAAAGAGAAGCTTCACCCAGATTCATATACTTGTGAGGTATGTGGCCGCAACTTCAGAGAGGCATCACACTTTACCAAACACAAACGTGGAGCCCTGTGTAGAAAATTAGCTCAGCGTATGGCCAAGAAAACCAAAAAGAAAAAAGGGTCGGGCAATCAAGATTCTACTGAAAAGAGAAGTAAACAAACAATTCTTCATAAACCATATCAATGTAATGTGTGTGGTGCTAAGTTCTGTGATAAAGTGAATGTGGAGTTACACTTGGAGAGACAACACAACAGCCGTCAGCAGCTGTGGGTTGAAATTGCCAAGAATGGAGGGTTCTCGTGTGCAGAGTGTGATCGTTGGTTCCAGGACAAAGGAGAATTGGTCGAGCATCAGAGACAACACATGGCAACTTATCTCCACCACACTGAGAGGCTCAACCATGGAGGGGAACCTCAAAGTGCCACTGTTGTGTACTACCACGACCCTCTTCAGCAAGTTCAGACGTACGGACAGCAAACACAGCCACCGCCGCCTCCACCGCCACATCTGCCTCCGCCGGCACCACCACCAATGGCTCACATGCACACAAACATGACCACCATTCTACACACTCCTCAACTTGCACCATCACTCATTCCTGTAACACAACCTAGCAATTCTCAGCCACCTCTGTCCACACTGCCTGGTATACCATCAATAGGAGTCATAGAAAGTGTAGCAAAAGGTTTAAAGAATAATAAAACGGATAGATTACCTGCAAATAGTAAATGGAATATCTGTGGAGACTGCGGACACAAATTTGTAGATCCCATGAATCTAGAGCTTCACATTCAACGGAAACACCCAGATTCTTACATGATAGAGACTATTAATTTAGGGGGTGGAACCATATTGTACAAAACCAATAACACTCGTTCAGATGTGCAGTGCCTCATAACTCAGAATGGTACCAATTCAGATTTAAAGTCAAACAAGACAAATCCACAAACTTTTGAATGTATATTGTGCGGGTATAAAGCCACTTCCAAGAACTACATTTTATTCCACCTTCAGAACATTCACAGCACAAGCAACACAGAGTTTATCCATATTTTAGAGACCTTAGAGTCGGGGAAGAAGGGAGCAAGAGGACTGAAAGGAAGAAAAGGTGCCCAGGACCCACTTCTACGCGAACAGCGACACGTTTGTAACGCATGCGGCGAAGTGTTCCTGTCTAAAGCCGAACTCATTCGTCATCGCATCAAAGATAAACAGTACATGTGTGGTGTATGTTGCCATGCTTCTTGCAGCCAACAACAAGTAACAACACACATGGCAACTCACCATCCTCACCACCATCCATCTGTGAGTGGAGGACTGTCTTGTTGGATATGTGGCTGTATATCAGTGTCAGCTGCCAGCTTGGATGATCACTTAGGCACTCATGGTACAATAACTGCAGAGTGTGTGTCTTGTGGAGAATGTGGAGTTAGATTAGGGGCGCTCCTTCCACACGTAGGAGTGCACTTACCCCGGCAGTCTACTCGCATACGTCTTACTGTGAGTAGACCCGGGCAGCCTTCATCATCTCACACTTTTGAGGTGGCTGTAGATGGAACCATCCACAGTGGGCTAAACTTAAATCGTACATCTCCAATATCCGTAGAAGCCGTGCCAACTCGTATTGCTCCGGCTTATGCCTGTAGTGAATGTGGTGCTTGCCTAGCAGGAGCTGCACAGTTAGAGGCTCATCTACAGTTACATCAGCTTAATACTGTTGTTACAACACAAGCTGCAGTATCATCATCTAATAACTCTGGTACTTTCACCAGCACAATTGCCACCATGGTGCCAGTCTCTTCATCACTGCCACAAGTAACGGGGACTTCTGTTGGTGACGTCTGTAGAGTTCCGGGTTCCTTTGAATTTCGTTGCGAAGAATGTGGATTTTGGCGGCAAGAAAGTGAACCGGTTATGCGTCACATACAAGCTGTACACATGTCTGGTAACATGCTGCACTCGGTGAAGCTTCAGTCTGGCTTGGTGCAGATACATCCCATCCATGTTGTAACACCTATTAGCTCTCTCTCCTCACAGTGAGAAATTGTGAAATTATAAGAAAATAAATCAAACAGGTGATCAAAGTTAGGGCTGTTATAGAAACTTGTCTCACAAAGGCTTAAGATCAGTAATACTGTATCTCGGGTAATTGTAATTAAAAGGTTATTGTCAATAGTATTATAATTATGCTATGTCCACTGTTTGTTTTTGTTCTGAAGAAGTTGTTGTTGTTATTTACATGTGGAAAAAACAACTGACATATACCTCCATATGTGTCAAAAGTTCCAATGGGTTCACTACCAGTATACAGTACAGTACAGTATTCTCCTTTATACATCAGTTCACGGTGGTTCATTGCCAGGTAATTGTATATATCACCAATGTAATTATAATTGTCTTTGTCATTTCTGTATTTAAACGTTTTCACATTTTAGCAAACACATTTGTAAACAATGACACTGCATGACACCTGGCTCTAACAATTACAACATTGGAAAAAGAAAGGTAATTTAAACTCACGAGATTTACTTGTCAAACATCTATAGGAATTGTTTTGTTGGCTCAACCCATTGATTCTGAGTTGGGTTATGAAGGTGTGTGTGTGTGTGGGGCAGTAGAAGTCAGTGCTGGGTGATGCTACTACAGTATGTACTATATAGTATACACAGTAGAGTGACCAAATTCTAGAGCCTATATATTGATTCTTCTTGTAATTCAATCTCTACTGTTGTGGTGTTCCTCGTCCACAATGTACCAAATACACATCTTAATTTACCTCTGTCACATAACCAGCATCACATACTTTCCCCAATGTATGTCACAATTCATAATGTTTTTGCTATGATGTGGGAGCTGTATTTATTAGCTTTTAGAGGTACATTAAGTACTTCAAGACTCATATATGTACTTGGGTATCACAATGTTCTCAGGGCTGGCTTTGTGATTGGTTGTGTAATTAACTGCTGTAATTTTTAAGCATCGACCATTCTACGCTGCAATGATAGGCACTTATTTTCTACTGGCAATGCCGCTGAAACTGGCAGTTGGATATTTTATAACAGTACGTCACTCAACCGGACAATCAACTGCATGGAATGGTCTTAAAACATCAGAAACTTCAATATAACAAAGGTTATACTGGTACAGTATAACTTCACATTGAACTACAAAGCGCCCCCAGTTACTTATTACAGAATGTGAAAAGTTTGCCTTATTTTTGTAAGAATAATCTGCTTGGTATTTGTGCATAGCTAGACTCAAATGATCATTTACAGTTACCAAAACACTGCTCTCATATTGTCATGTCTCACCACTGGACTACTATTTTCTCCGCTCTGGTGTTAATAACATAATTACTGTACCAGGAATCCTCAGTGTGGGCTTACAGGTTTAATAGGAGGAGATGTCCGGTATTGTGACGTACTTCTGTATACTGGTAATAACGTTGTAACTGGCAGCTGTTTGGCAATGCTATTGTTACAAACAACTATTCTAATCAGTTAAGGCTGCTGCTATAATTGAGAGTTTATTATCTGCTGGTAGTACTGTACTGTACCAATAATATTATTTATTTTGTCATTTATATTGCTATTACTGTTAAACAACAATTCTCTACAAATTGTTGCATTAATTGGCTGTCATAATAATTATAGGGGAATTATATAATATTATTCAGTATAGTTGTGATAAATATCTCGGATGTACAAAGAATCCCGCGTAGGCCGACGTGTACAGTTACTGTGTGTCATTCCGCGAGTGGCGTCTCGCAGGCTAGAGTTTTTATCACCCGATGCTGCCGTTAGTCAGGTCCTCCCGAGGCTTGTTTAATACTGTTGATATTTTATGATACAATAGCTGTTTCTCAAAAGTTACTTGTACTCTAGGTCACATATCACATTTATTATCAATTGATATTAACATTATAAAAGTCCCGACTCAACAGGGTGACACATTTATATTTTGATAGATATGACCCTGAAGAGGTTATGTAATAACTCTTTAAAGTACCGTAGGTTAACGTTAGAGAGAAAACTCCATATTTCCTGTAGTTAACGCATGGTGAAAAATATGCAGACTTGAGAAATTTAACTACAAATTTAAGTAACAATAGTATGATAAAAGGTTTATTATGATATCTCGGCCTACAAGGCGACGGGGTGTATAAGACGGCCCCCAAAATTTCCATTTAAAAAGTAGCTTTTGAGCCCTATTCGCTGTATAAGACCGGTACCCCAAATGTGACACTTACCATTGGGAGCTTACTGACCCAGTAGTCCTTTACCAACCATCCCATTGACCAGTGCTGTTTACACATCCTTGGTTTTTTAAAATAAAGCCAATTCACTTCAAGTAATGGCATCAAACGTTACCGGTTGATGTAGTGTAAACACTAGTGACTCACTTAAAAGTTTGTTATTTAACTTGAACTAATGTCGGTGTCGAATACAATTGTTTCATTTACTTAAAATGGATTTACCGATTTATTTGTTTATTTATATCATACTGTAATATATTAAACACACTGGAAGTATTTTCTTTAATTTATAAGCTTGCTTCAGCGAGCTACAGTATTCTAATTCAATAGTGTTTCATTAGGATTTGAGTGAAAAAGATTACTGTACATACTTACTACATACATTTATTACACAAATATATATATATATATATATATATATATATATATATATATATATATATATATATATATATATATATATATATATATATATATATATATATATATATATATATATCACAATATTTTATAATTGCAGTCATGTACTGAATATTCTATGTAAAAAATATAAATTTTAAATGAATTATTTCTAGTGTGGTCGACTTCCTACACAAAGACGGGCTATAAATAGCCGTCTTATCTCCCCTCTGTTCTGAGAGAGAAGGTCTTGGTAAATAACTTTTGTTTGTTTATTTTCATTGTTTGTCAAATTTATCATGTTGTATCAAAGTAATATTACTAAAAGTTTTAGGCAGCTACCAAACAGGGAGATTCTACTGCCTGGGAAGATATTGGAAGCATAATGTACAGTATTGTCTAATGGTAGACCCTACTTCCATATGGCATCACGAAAATTGTGACCAAGTCTTAGGTTGCTGATTTATCTTACTGCCTCATTTACACACAATTAATGAGTTTCAATTGTTTCTCTTCCTTTGACAACACAACATACATACAATATAATGTTTCACCTTTGATCTTTTTTCCATTTATTTATGGTTGGTTATTTAAAATAATGCCAATTCACTTCAAGTATTGGCATCAAATTTTACCCGCTGTTGTACACTAGTGACTCACTTAAGCGTCAGTTATTTAACTGGAACTAATGTTGGTGTGAGTAAAATATTTCCATTTACTTGAAATAGATTTGCCGATTTATTTGTTTATTTATTTAGCTATAATATATTGTAATACATTAAACACACTGCAAGTATTTTTTTTAATTATATACTTGTTTCGCGAAAAAGGGAGGCTACCATTATACCTGGTAGGTGAAGTTGACCAGACATTTATGATCATTAAGGACCAAACTCCGAATCCATGACGTGACTTCTGTTAATCATTCTCATCCTAAATTTACCACTGTCGGTAGTTTCAAGAATTAACGCAGTCATTTACTGAATATTCTTTGTAAAAAAATTAATTTTAAATTAATTATTTATAGGAGATAAGTATTATGATCAGTAAATATACAGATATGCATTACTGACCACCTCCGAACACAAGGACGGCTAAAAATAGCCACAGGCGGTCACTGTCAAGGTCGCTTTCCCTTTCTCGTCACTGGCAAATGGGGGGGGGGGGTGATGATAGCAGCTGTGTTTATTACCGGGGTATATTGTTCTTTTACGGTATGTTAGACTGGTTTATAATACATTTTTATTATTTTAATATACCGGTAATCTTCATTTTAATCCAGCTTCCCAAATGTAAGTTTCAGTATAAAATAATTAGTGGTAGGACCTTGTGAGTGGTTTACCATGTTTCCATCACCACTCTTGACACGCTAAACCGCAAAATTTAAGAGGTAAGAATTTTATCTCTGGTGCTTAAGACGACCCCCTAACTTTGGGCTGATTTTTTTTTTGTTCAAATTCCGTCTTGTAGGCCGAGATATACGGTATGTGATTGCGTACTTCATATGATGTGGTTTGTAATGAGGGCATTCTGGATCAGCATTTACAGAAAGAAAATTCATAATGGCTGTAAAATCTTTCATGAATATGGTTGTAATTTACCCCACAAAACTTGAATTTCTTTTCCCCCCCCCGTTTGTCATTCCATTGTTTACGTTTACATGGTCACATATAGACATGAAAAACACATACACATGATAGTAATCCCTAGGTAACAGGCAGGGAAAAGTTGGGACTAGTTTATGCAGAAACACACTCCTGCTTCCATGTTTGTTCAGTATCCTCTGACCAGTCATAGGCAGAAAACAGATACCCTGCGGATTCTTTAGTTTCCTCCCCTGTGATATTGCGGAATTTCACCTCGATAATGACTGACGTTTGTTGCTTGTGGAAATACAGATCACGTCCATTATCCCACTCCTCTTCTGTCATGGCCCCGAGTAAACCTTCCACCCAACATCAATACTGTACTACCACAACACTTCCCCAAGACTCTGGTTAATAGTGTGTGTGTTAACAAGTACATAGTTATTTTTCTCTGCTGTTACATTTATATTGATTATAGTAATTATTTGAGTTTGTGTACATGTTATATTCTTTGTAGATTTTCATTACCTGGTTTAGGATATTTTAATTTTGTTTAGCTACACCTAACCCAACCCTTTTACCACTAATTTTTGGATAGAGATATGCAGTGTTTCTAGGAACCTAACACCGTGCATCCAGGGATTACTGTATAGTCTTAAAAATAAATAGTATAACAGTACGACTATTCAGGATTTTGTGTTGTACGTGGATTTCTCCGAGGCATTTGACAATGTTGCACATGTACGACTAGCCTCTTAAGATCCAATCAAGTGACATCAGAGACAAAATTTTGAAGTGGATTAATAACTGGCCCAAACAACAATGAGTGGTAAGACCCATCCCATAAAGGACATACAGTAGATGAAAACATTGTCAAGTCTGCAGATGACACAAAGTTATTTGGGAAGGTAGCAAGTCAAGACCCCTGCATAA